AAAAATCCTGTATGGTAAGAGCTACGCGCAAGACTTCGTGCTCTTTTTGAGTGGTTTAAAACCCCGGTTCTGCCTTGGGCACCACTCCTCCTATGTATCCTCTGGATACCTACTTTACAGGGTGTTGCTACTAAGGGTCTGTTGAGACAGTTCCTTCAGCACATACAAAGAGAAACATGCGGTAGCCCCTGTGTGACAGGCCAAGACTGGTATGAGTCTAGGTTCTTGGTCGTATTCCCTTAAAGGAATCTATTTCTGATTCCAAGCCTTGAGCTCTACCCCAGGCCCAGGAGTCTGGCCCTAACAGGTAAGTATTTGGGGTATGTAGCCTAGGCCTTTGGCTGTAGGGAATAACGTCACTGACAGCCGTCTAACGTCCCAGGGGCAACTCCCATAGCAATATGGTAAAGTTGGTACTTAGTGCTCGCCATGGTTCTGGCTTGCACTCCCCTCAGCATGGCAGCGTGGGTATACCGTTCCCCATAGCGCCCCCTAGAGGACACAGTGTCTCGTTCCCTACTCAGGGAACCATGGTTACATAAGTAACCCGAGACGTTTTTGAGGAAAAAAATTCCAGGATTTTTCTCCATGTAGTGGACTTCAATGGGAGCCAAGGGGTTGAAGGTTCAAATCGCAGTTTCAATGCATCTTCAAAGGGCTCTGCTCGATCCCAGCCAAGGACTAAGTGTCTTATCTAGCAAAACGATCTGTCATTTTCTAAAAAAATTTTTACATTTATATACTTTTTTAACCACAAATGCTCGTCTTGCACTAGCTCTGCAATGCATGTCCGTGACTTCATGCATTAAGTAGTCACATTGGAAAGTTCACGCGTGGTTAGTTCTTCATGTGTACTTCAGTTAAAAAGGTAGGGTAGGGTGAAAAACTCCATCTCATTTTCTCCTCCAACTTCAAAATTGTCCAACATTGACTTGCTTTGCATGTTCGCTTTGTAAACATTGGGTCGGTACTTCCGCCTACGTCACGCGTGACCTTTTCAATGTGACTACGTAATGCATGAATTCGAGCTAGTGCAAGACGAGCATTTGTGGTTAAAAAGTGTAGAAATTTTAATTTAAAATGACCGATCGTTTCGCTAGATAAGACCCTTATTCCTCAGCTGGGATTGTGCAGAGCCCTTTGAAGCTGCATTGAAACTGAAATTTGGACCTTCAACCTTTTTTGCTCCCAGTGAAGTTTTCCTTAACATCCTAAATTTCATAAAGAAAGTGCATAAAGAAAGACATGAACATCTTGGATGACATGGGGGTGAGTAAATTATCAGGACATTTTTACTCTGGAAGTGAACTAATCTTTTAAAACAAACTAATTTTTGCGAAATGTGCACAGTGGATTGAAAAAACGCAAGTTCTCAAGACTTAAGCGCTGCCATATGATTATGTGAGTGCTATAAATTTTGAACTGTGTGTGTTTCAGCTGCAGGGCGGCCCTCGTGGCCGGGATGCCACTGTGTACCCTGCCAGTCGGCGGTGGATCCTGAGGGGCAGGAGCTGCCCACCCAGTGCAGGGGGCAGAGGAACAAGCACCCTGACCTCGACATGAATCTCTGCTGGAACGAGATTAAACGCAAATCCCACAACATCAGGTATATCACATCTTTTGTTCATCCTTCTATTATATCAGCCTTCTATTATGTTCAATGTCTTCTGGGGATTATTAACCTTGTCTCAGTAGCACCAGTTAGAGATCCACATATTGCAATTCTCCCAGTCTCAGAGGCGCTAATGAAACTGTTGATTGAGTTTGGGCTGTTTTGCATGCCATTTGTATGTATGTCCATATGTAATGCAGTGTGCTATGTTTACATACTTAGCCTTTTAATTACAGCCTCGACCCCAACTTTTCTCTGGGGACATATTTACCAGGTCGTGATTGGTTTAGACATCCTCCCTGCAGCACGGGGTAATAAGATCATCCCAGGATGGCCCGCAGTAGCAGTACTCTTGTCAGTATTCTGACATCATCCAGCCCTGAAGGAAGACTACAGCTATACAACATCACATGTAATGGAAATGGATTGAATACTAAGTGGCTTCTACAAAAGACCCTCTGGGATTATATTGCACCAGCGTTGCGGTGACTGACTTTTTCAGCTGGCTGTGTTTTGACAGACAGATGCCCCTACCATCTAATCGCCTGATTTTTCAGCTTTGGCATCTGTAAAATGCAATGGCAGGGATTTTAGTAGAATTAAATTATGTTTGAATTTTGTTTGGAAGCAAATAATCTATTTTATTTGGTAAATGAATGGATTATGGTCAAGGTTTTCGCTTGTCTCTGTGCTGTTTTGTTGACTGTAGAGCTGGCATTATTTGTTTTATGCCTAATGTTGAATCCCTGCTTGATTTTTGTAGATTGCGTTTCAGAGCAACACAACATGAATAATTTACTTGAAATTTTAGCTGTTTTTTTCTTTCTCAGGCACTGTGACAGGAAGAAATCAAACAGACTTGCTAGCGGGGCAGAACAGAGCTCGTCTTTGTCATTCTCATCAGAATATTTGGCTTCATTGGGGTCCACTCACACGGCAGTGAATGTGCTGTGACCTGGGGGCTATGTGGCTGAGGGGGTATATGGGTGGACAGAGGCATGCTGGGAATGTTTGATTGCAGACGTGCCTGGATGTTTCTCACCTCTCTGATGGCGCAGCTGTGAGTGGGTGCTGATGGTGTGACTCAAAACCCACATCCCTAAATCTGCTCAAAGCATCTCTTTGTCTGCGTAGACTGTAAATAATTAACACATCTGAACTGCCGCGACTGACTGCGTCATGCTGTATTTTGAAGTTAAAGCTAGTACTATTTGGTGATATCATTGCACTTACTGTACATTCATAGTTTTGTGAAGTATACGTGCAGAACTTGAAAGTAACAAAAAGAAGGCCATTCCAGTTCAGTTCTGTTCTCTTCCACACTCAGTGCTAAATGGCAGAGGAGAGCATGTTGACCTTTCAGCCATCCTCAAAGCCTCATCCAGTCTTTTCAACAGCAGGCAGAAAAAGGCTTGATTGAGCACTAACAGCATGCTAATTGCTGTCCTTTCTCTGAGTTTTAGGCTCGGAGATTAGAATGTTAAAAACCCTTTTGCTAATGGGTCTACAGTCATGTCAAATTTGACATGTAATAAATTTACTTTTTTCATCGGAGTGCAGTCTATGAAAGGGAGAGGAAATGGAATATTCTGTCAAGACTTTTTGCTTGTTTTGGAAGTAAGATGTCCTTAAGTTTTCTTTAAATGATTAAAGGTAGATGTTTAAATGTGTGGGCAGCAGGAATCTTTTGTGCAAAAACCTGTGCTTACCCTCATGCTGTTCCAGGTCTGTATGACTTTATTTCTTCTGTGGAACATGAAAGAAGATATTTAGAAGAATGTTGGCAGTCAAGTTTTGATAACCATTGACTTTCTTCATATGAGACATTTCTTAAAATGTTGTCTGTTTTCCACAAAAGAAAAGAAGGTTTTGAATGACGTAAGGGTCAGAATGATAAGTAAAAATACCTTTTTCATTAAATGTGTTGGAAATTATTACAGTACCTTGTGGTGGAGTCTTAGGTTGTTTAGGATAAGAAGGGAGATACATATTTTCTTTTTGCTTAGCTTCCCAGTGTTGCTTGTTATCACAATTTGTTGTGTTTTGGATGCTGATGTGCTGGTGACCTGACTAGACTTACCAGCAAGATTTTGTTTGGTCAGCAAGCTTCACCAGAATAATCCTGCTGATTCACCAGCCAGAAGGGATGTAAATTGTATTTTTTTTAATGCTTCCAATTCTGACCAACTTTTAATGATTCTGGTTCCATAAAGATTTTATTAGTATTTCTTCTAAAACTTTTGAGGAAGAAATATTTTCTTATTACATTCATACAGTAGTCTGGTACCAAATGATGACATAATTTCAATAGATATGACAAGTAAGGAATACTTTTAAAACTATTCTTCCAAAAGTGCATTAACAAACTTTTTAAAGGCTGCATAAATGTAATTAAATAGTTGTATATTAAATAAAAATAAAAATACTAAGCGAATAGAAAAGTGGAATAATTTCATTAATTAATTTAATAAAAACAACAAAATTCATAACTGTGTCTTTTTTAACTATACATTGTCATATGAATTTTTGGTTTACTGAAAAGATCTGAAATGACAAGAGTCATTTGTATGTGAATCTGACTAAACATATAATTTTATGTTTCATTTGTGGATTCCTTAGCAGTGTTGCGATCAATAGCAGTACTGGAAAAACTGTCAGAGTGTTTTAGTGGGTTGTTTTGTCCACGTTGGCAGAAAATTGCATGTTCGAGAATGGTTAATGGAATAAAAAAAATAAAAAAATGGAACCAGTTCTCTGTTCCATCCCATATAAAACCAGGCTGGAATTGTTGCTGGTCTTTTCAGGGTTATTTTGAGCTCAGCCCATATTCTGACATAGTCTACTCATTATGAGGAACTTTCGAAATGTGTTGTAGCCATCAGTAAACACAGCCTTTTCTAACTTTGCTAAAAAGCATGTTTTTGTGTTTGTACCAGTACAGTTTGTTCAGTCCTCATATGGCTGTAGGAAGGAACCCACATCAGTTGCATCATGACATGGGACCAGAGATGAAGAGCAACAAAAAAGGACATTTTTGTGAGCGGTACGCTGTGGTGTTTCGAGCTTCTTGCTAGGCTTTGCAAATAAACCCACTATTCAAACACCCTAATGAACGAACAAGTCAAAAGGGATTTCAAAGTGCTTGAATTATTAACGACAAGTCTACCCGGCTGTGTTTGTAGGAATTAAATCAAATAAAGCTTGTCCGGCACTCTCATCTATCAACGTGGGGCTGAGCGGATCGCTCTCTTTTGCTGGGTAGACACAATGCACTGCTGATACAGTTGCATTCTCTGCTCCAGCACTCTTTGAGGAAATAATAATCATGCATTGACATAAACAACCAACAGCATGGGGTGGGGTCCCTTAGAGAAATGAGAAATTGTAGTAAGGCTGAATCACATTTTCACTGGGAGATGCTGCCAGGCACTTAGGCGGCACTCATCATCCCTAACTTGGCACAAGTATCAGGGAAGCTAATGATACAGTTGGCCAAGGCTAGACCAGCAGACATAGTCTCAGTTTCCCTCAGTTAAGCTCTCTTTTACTCGTACAGTGAGGTAACTGACTTTCCTGACAAACCTTGTTAAAGTCAAATATCTGCTTAGTCCCACCTGAGACCTGCCCATGATCTGGCCCTAAAACTTCTGTTCACATGTCTCTCACAGATAATTTATGCTTTAAGCTGGGCTTTATTGGATGTGAGTGAATATATGAATACACGAGCATCTATGCGGGATGCATATCTAAAGCTCTCTTGCAGGAAATGTATTCCCACATGAAATATTCCAATGGCACATTCCAATGGAGTGTTTATGCATACACAATGATATATATGGAACCGGCTGATATTACAGGTGTGGTATTTGTATGCATGTGAGGGCCTGTGCAGCAGCCCATTGTGTTTTCTTAACTGTGTCTTATAAACAGAATGTAGGGTAATGAAAGAGGCGAGACAGGCAATGCTGAATTGTAAGGCTCATTTCTCCCATGGCACCATCACCTTTTTTAGCCAATGGCTTAATTGTGTCTGAGAATCAGTGCTCGCAGACAAGACCTCTCTTTTTCATTCAGTGTTACATTTCAAGGCTTGTGTAGCTGAAAGGACAGGCCTCAAAGAGAATGTCGCCCAGAGCCTTAGGCGATGCTTCTGAAATGGAAACACAAATGAAAGAGAAAGGATATCACCAGACACCTCACTCTTATTTTTAGCATTTAGTTATTCGCTGATCCGTGAAGCAACCCCTCACTGATGGTTATCATGCAACATGACCAAAGAACTAATGAGTTTTATCTGCATCAGTCTAGTTTTTTTTTGTAAGTATTAAAATTAATTTAGTTATCGCTAGCGATTGCGATTTACATATTGCAATTTTTACATATGCTATATTGTAATAATTTTGATGTGTTGTGCAGCTTTAATGTGTATGTAACACTTAGACATACATATTTGTACTTTTGGACATATTATGCTGTCCACAAATGGACAAATGGACTTATTGACAGCATTCAAAGTGTAAAAATAAATTCATATGAACAGCTTTAGAATTTTTAAAAATCTTTTGTATTATTCATATTTGCATATATTTTTGTATTATATACATTAAATTAATATAATACTATATAAATAATAAAAAAATAAATGTTTGGATTGAGTGATGGAATTCATCAAAACTAGTTGAATATAGCAGCAGAAATTGCACAGAACAGATTGAATCCATTATGGCTAAATTAGGTCAATAAAGGTGATGGGATTGAAAACAGTGATGGCATATTGAATTAATCTTATTGATTAAATGCAATTAATTAAATTTTCTGTGAGCCTAAAAAGATTTGTAATGTACATAACTAAGTACATTTGGCAGCACTTTAGTATAGGGACCAATTCTCACTATTAACTAGTTGCTTGTTATCACGCATATTAATAACATATTGGCTGTCTATTAGTACTTATAAAGCACATATTCTGCATGACCATATTCAAAATCCCAAATCCTACCCAATACCTAAAATTTAGTAAAGTATCTTTGCAAACGTAAGAAAATGTGTGCTCAAACATTTTTTTTACACTAAAAACACCTTCAAATACTATTGAAATCATGTTTTGAACCTATGAACTTGGGTTAAATCTACTGTAAATTGATTGGGATACAATCACCTGAATCTGCTTATGTTGCTCTCATTTGTAAGTCTCCTTGGTTAAAATGTCTTCTAAATAGATAAATGTAAAAGTCATTTAGAACAGATGGCTCTGAAGAGGCATGAATGGTCCTCAAAAATGGCCTGCTTTGTCCCTGCCATGTGTGAACATTGTAAAAGTAGCTCCTCATTGGTCACTGGTATTGATTACTATACCCTACACTAGCCATCATGCCTGATGGTTCATATCGAACAAGCGACGTTACAAGACAGCTGTCACCTGTTTACTTCCACTCTCACTAGCAGTCACAGCCAGCCCACACTAACATGCCATCCAGCTCCCGCAACAGAACCGATCCAGATGCCTCCAACATGTGCCATCTCAGCGCTGCAATCCAATCCATTAAAAGCCCTCCATTAATCTCCATTTGTTAACCCAAGATTGCTACCTGGAGACAAGCGAGGAGGTCTATAATGCTGCCCTGCCCTGCCCTGATTCCATTGGGTTTTATTTGTTTCTCCTCCTTTGTAAAAAGGACCACAGGATTTGGATGCTTGTCCAGCAGAGGCATTGTTTGATTTTGTGGCTTTTGGAGGAATCCCCATAAAGCCTTAGAGAGAGATGAGATGATCGATGGTCTAAGTCTAAGGATTCAGAAGGGCTGCAGAAACCCAGCGGTCTGTGCAGGATGGGTTACTGGATGTAATGTGCTATATCTGTGATGGAGAGCGAGGCAGAGAGATGCTGTGCAATGCTCAAACATGGCACAGGTGTGAAGTGTTGCAGTCTTGCTGTGGATCAGTGAATCAGTAGCACAGGGGCTTGACTGTACAGGACAGATCATACCCTAGCGAGCATAAAGGGGCAGATGTGTCCCCTGTACTCACAGCGCTGGATTCAGGAACTGCTCTGAATTAGTCAAATTTGTAGAGGCATTGCAAATATCCTTACTATTTCAAATAAACGCAGATTTTTGATGAATAACTTTATTGAGAGAGAAACCAGATCAGAGAATCCAGAAAAAAAATTATGTTTTCCACAAAAATATTAGGTAGCAAATATAAAATAAAAAGTTATTTTAAATTGTATTATGTCACAATATTACTGTGTTCAGATCAGCATAAGAAAACACTTTAAAAACATTTTAAATACCGACCTTACCAACCACAAACTCGCATTGTGAGTATGTCTTACAGTTGTGACATCATATTTTACAGTGTGATTTTCTTATTTTAAACTTTTTTTTTTCTTTTATGTCAATTATCTTTTTTATTTTTTATTTAGTGGAAACAAGCTTTCGTAATATGGTTCTATTCTTTCTCTTTTTTTCTTTTTTTAATTTAATTAAAATCAGAAAGAGTTCACATGATCAATGTCACAAATTTATGTAGTTTAGACCCCAATGTATTCAATAGCACTTGCATTCATGGATAAATAAACCCTTGGCATTGCTAGCAGCAACAGCCCTATTAACATTGTTTGATGACTTTTTATACCAGTGCTTGATACACACTTATCTGTAACATACTTCAATTTACAAAGCTACAACAAGCACACATGTGCCTGTAATAGAGAATCAAAAGCAGTGTTATAGCTGAAGGCTATAGGCCTTTTCAAGAACTCCTTTCCGTTTCTAAGCAAGTTCAACCCATCACCGCTGAGTAGAAATATTACATGAACTCATTAAGCTCTCATAGACAGGAGCTTCATTTGATTTTTGATGTGAATAGTACAAAAATCTACAGCTTACTGTAGCTGTGACCCATTGATAGTATAGCAGCTGGGTGAGTAGCATTTTCCTCGGGTTCTATTCTTTTGTGATTGTATGCGTGTGTGCATATGTGTGCTATGTAGCATTGGAGGAGGTGTGTGTGTGCTTGTTTGTGTTTGTGTCTGTATGATGAAGGAGCCTTCAGGAAACTATAGAACACACAGGCTCTCTAATGAAATGTCTGCAGCCTGGCTGCCTTTATTGAGTCTAATAACACATCATTATAGAGAGGGCTGTGCCCACCCTCCTTCAGTACAATAGAGGTCCGAACAGGTGAAGCAGGTCTCGTATTTGGCTTCTCTCTTTTCATCGTACCTCCTCTTGTTCTCTAATTATGTAGTATATAATAACAATTTATTTTATTTCTACTGCGAATATAATTTCAAAGCACTGAAACTACATGTTTTGATGGCTTTGGTGGCATTGTTTTGCTGGGAAATATTCTTTAAACTAAATAGAAAATATGTTTGCATGAGTTTTCTATATCTTGCTGTGTTGTCCTAATGAGCACATGGTTGCCTGACAATTGGCCTCTATCTGCGAATGATTAAAAATAACAAGCACATTAGTGTTTGCATGTCCCGGTGGACACTGTCGCTTCAATTATCACTAAGTGGAGGCTACATTTAACTAGCCCTGTTGAAAAAAGTAATCCCTCAAAACAATCTGTGTGAACCAGAGGTCAATTTGTGAGTAAAGGTACACTGAGGCCAACAATCAACAATCTGTCTTTTTGCTTTGTCATTTAACAGACGCTTTTATCCAAAGGGGCTCCATATTACACGGACAGTCCTGCTGATGCAACCTGGGGTCTTGCTGAAGTGCACAATGATGACAGCTCACAGATTTCAGGATTGTTGGAGTTTGTACCTGCAGCTTTTTGGGTACTGGTCTAGATCCTTAGGCTACACCATGCCCAAATCTTTGATTATTTCCTTTAGACCTCAGTAGCTATGGACCTTACAAGTTGCACATATGAGGCAGTGAACCTTTTTTACTCTTTTAAAAATAATAATAAATCCCAGAAACTGAGAGTGCAGATATAGGTGAATTATCAGCTGTGTGTTCCTTATTAAAACAAAAGTTATTGAAGGAAAAAAATAAGTTTATATGGTTTCTTCCTTTCTTTTCTTTTTTTTAAACATTTTAAGTTAGATTTGTTTGAATATGGTAATAATAATTATATATATATATTAATTTATATATTTTATATATATTTTAATTTATACTATTTTATTTTAAATATATATAAATGTTAAGTCATCATGTGGTCTTCTTAGAAATTAGCTGGTTCTTCTGGATGAGAACCATTCACACAAGATCCATCCTAATTGTGAATTCAGTTTCTGCGGGGAAAAAAAGCTGTTTCCATCCCACATATTCAATAGAACAAAATCGTCACTGTTGTGTAAATTTGTTTGAGCAAATTATTCACTCAAATGAAAAAAACATGAATTTTTTGATGTGCATCTAGGATAGTTTTATGCACATATCCTTATACCATATAGCAAGATTCTTTAACACATTTTTATGTGTTATTCCAAAATTAGCATAAAAATATGCGGATGGAAACCCATCTTATAACCTGTTTGGGAGAATGGCACAAAAAGAGCCCAATAAGACCCATGCAAAGCACACCTGGAGCCAAGAAACATAATAGTGACCCAGGAAAATATTGCTGAGATGAGCCAAAAATATAGCTTTTTATCTAGAATTCAAAGCTGTATGTGTGCTGCAAATCTAAGACTGCCCACACCTAAAAAAACACCATACCTACAGTGAAGTAGCATCATGCTGTGAGGCCGCTTTTTTATCAGCAGAGGCTGAGCATCTTGTTAAAATGGAAAGTAGACAGAATGTAGCAAATACTGCGAGAAGGAAATAAATTCATGATCTCAAACACAAAAAACACTGTAGTGACACAAATAGGTAAATGTCCTACAGTTGTCTTGTAAAATCAACCATCTTGTGACCAACCTGAATGGCCTTGAGCCAAATGGTACGTACTTCACCCATCACTTAATGTGGCCCTCATTAGCATTAGCTTTTCAATGCATTGGTTATTTTTTTTACAATGTCACGTGGCGATTCAGTAGTCATGCAAACAATGTATTATTTTTAAAGATTTTTTTTCCCTAACAAAAAATGTCACGCTTAATCCCTTTGTCTTAGTTATTTCTTTCCTGCATTCCCTGGGCTTTGGCAGTGCTCTTGAGTGCCATATAATGGTCTAAAAATAATGCAGGTCTGCTGCATGCTGGGACACTGGGGGTTATTGCAACACAAGGTTCTTCTCTCTTAATCCTCTATGCAGCATCAGGTGGGATGCTGACAGAACTAGCCTGTCTCTAAAACAATTCCAGTCTATGTGGGCAGGTGGTTAAACGGCTGGCTTCATATTTTATTTATCGCCTTGTGAAAATGTGATTTCTGCAAACAGATAAGATTTCATCCCATGTGTAAATGCAGGGCAATGGGTTGAGACGTGCTTTCCTGTTTCATTACATGCTGGGATGTCATGGAGATGTGTTATGCTCTTCGGTATGCATAACTCATCTTTTGACGTTCCTAGGGAGGAGATGGAGGCAGGTTGAAACTAAGTACAAGTGCATGTAGGTTAGTTAGCATGGTTCAGTTAACCCCTGCTGGAACCAACCAGCCAAATCAATATTTTAATGTTATATATTATTTACTTATATTACTTTATAGCTATATTTGTTAATAAATATTTTAATACACATTATATGTTACATTTGAATGTATTCACACTGTAGATAGGAGTCCCGTGGATCATCGAAAACTTATGCTGTTGTCTAACTATGTTGGCCTGTTCATCAGAGAATAACATTGCAAAACCCTCAAAAATAATAAAACTGAAATGGTGACAAGGTTCCGTAACAGTATGTCCTGAGACTCTAGATTTGGACGTTTTTTCAGTGCTGTGATCTCAGTGCTGTCTAAGTTTTGACCATGGGTCTGTGCCCTGTGGCGGGCTGTCGTTTGCTGTGTTGGCAGGGTACGGCTGGAGGCCTTTTCGGACAACAGCGGGAAGCTCCAGCTGTCCCTGCAGGAGATCATCGAATGGCTGACAGCTAAAGACGAGGAGCTGTCCGAGCAGCTGCCCATAGGTGGTGATGTGGGAGCGGTGCAGCACCAGCGGGAGTTCCACCAGGTTGGCTTAACACACATGCACACTTCCTCATGCTGTCTTTCCTCACATTAGCATATCTTTTCTCTTGCTGACTTTGCTCCTGAACACGGTTAATCTTGTCATCTATCAACATAACAGAATCAATTCAATATTTAAGACTGCAATATAGCAGCAGGAGTTCAGACAGAATGACATTAAAGATTGGAGCCCACCCACCTGTAAGCTAATAAAAAGCCTCTGAATCCATTATCAAGATGCAAAAGTAGACCTGAATGAAACATGTTAATTGGAAATCTGAACCCCCGTCTGTTCATAAACCACAAAGAGGCTTGCAAGATCACTGAAAATAGAACAAAGAGAATAGTGGCACCAACTGATGCATGCACAATAAATGGCTTAAGATGCAACTTTTATGTTTACACTTTTTATCGCTGCTCTCCCTGCTCTCATCCATGCTAGGCTGCATGGATGCACAGGGAGTTCTTGCCCAGAACGGAACCATACCGCCAATCCAAACTGTATGCTAATTGTCAATCATCTTTGACGATATCATTACTTCTCTCATGAACTTACATGAACCTAGCAGAGCTGGGGTGGATATCAGATTTCTGTGTCATACGGGTTTGGAAAGACATAAGGGTGAGTAAATGATGACAGATTTATTTTCATATTTAGGTGAACCATCCCATTAAATATTTACCACTCTCCTGTGCATACACATTATGTTCTGCATTCAAACATGTTTTTTTCTCCCAATACACAAACACAAACTCACTCTCCCAGATAAACACACACCTTGTAATTGGCCCTGTACTACAGCAGGATACTGCTTCCGTCTTAGCTCCAATTTCCAGTGCTGTCAGTTGAATAAAGCAGGAAAAATAGGGGTACTGAGAGAAAAGATCGAGCGAGAGTGTGAGAAAGGGAGAGAGATAGCAAGCTCTTTCTTTCTGCGACTGACACACTGTGAAATCAGCCTCCAAATTAACAGACCTGTATCTCACTGTCCGTTTCTTGGCTCTCACTTATTTCTCCTTTATTGCTCACTTTTTGCTCCTTATGTAGTATGTAGATGCACCCTTATCCTTGTACTCTCATTCCATCCGTCACGTACTGTTCTCTTTCCCTCCAATTCACTGCTGCAATGTACAATGTTCGCATTCCCAATGTGCCACATCTCCCTAAAACTTCTCCGACAAAGCAGAGAGTAAAATCACATATGCTACTCTGCCGAGAATTACAGCATTTTAAGAAATTTAAATGATTGATCATTAGTGGATTTCTTCCTCTGTGTTTTAATATCATACTCTTTTTGTCTTCCCCTGTGCTAATTTTTCTGAGGTTGTTGACAGATTTGAATAGATTGGGTTTGCTTTAAAAACTGTGTAGCCTATATACTAAAGCTTGCCCTAATACTAGTATAGACTGAAATTGTAATCGTTTCCCTTGAGTCTTTGAACCCTAAGTAGATACCATCATTACTTAAGAGTACTTAGTTGAAGAAACAACAGAGACATCACCAGACAGAAACAACCATTTCTTGAGGCTTTCCCTACAAATGTATAATTAATACATGAGTGATCTTAAGTCTTTATTTTTGTTCGCTCAGCCAAAGGCGGACCTCTTGAGTATGAAGTTTAGCTGCTATTAAAGTTTCACAGTGAGTGGAATGAAAACATTTTTCAGGCCTCGGTTATTTCAGGAAATAGCAATGCATGGGCAAGTGGGAAAGCATACCCTCTTGCCCATGCCTTGCTATTTCCACGAAGACCCCTCAGGAGACCACTTGATTCCAGCAGCCTGGCAGTACATTTGTTCTTTTGACTGTTTGATTTCAGTTTACACTTTCTTGGTTGCTAACTTAATTTGCAAATGGGTGGGTAGAGGTTTCAAGGACATGGTACGTGTTACTGGGGTGACTCCAGATGCGGTTGCACAGCCATGTTTGTAAAATCCATAATCGGCATAAGAATGTAACACTGGGTATTTCCTGTGGGTAATATGGGAGATAAAATAAATAGTAATCTCTTTACGCTATAAGAGGATTGAAATATTGGATCATCCAAATAAATTACTTTAAAAAGAGGGGGTAATATTTCTATGAGATTTAAAATGGCACGATGGATGAATGAAGCTGTCGCCTTAGTAACTATTAGGGATTAGTGAAAAAACTGTAGGTGGTGCCTAGAAGTAGGGAATTTACTCCATGATTGATATACATCATAGTTCAGGTCTGGTTTGAGCTGCATGTCTGTACATTAGGAACCCAAATTGATTTCTGTTGGACCCTAGATGTTAAAAAAGAGGTCTTACGGGTATTTAGAAGAGCCTTAAAGGGATTCTGACGTAATTTACTCAACCACATCGTTCCAAACCTGTATGATTTTCTGACTTTTGTGGAATACAGAAGATGATGTCTCAATTGGGTCCAGTGTAGTTTTGGACCCCATTGATTTCCATTGTATGGACACAAACAGTTAATATCTTTATGTATGGACAGAAGAAAGAAATTCATACAGATTTGGAACAACATGAGGTATGAATGCCAGAAATTCTATTTTTTGGGTGAAAAATCCTTTTAATGGTAATCTGTCAGTATCTACCCAGGTAAAGCTGGAAAACTGAATTTAATTCAGTAGATTGACACCCTCAGAGGTTGATGGATGTTGTGGGGCTCCAATACCGTGTCTGTGAGCTAGTTCATGTGTGTCAGTGAGGCTTCTTTCATGTTTATACCTCTGCTGTGATGTTTGATCATGTCAGCATGACGCACTAGTAAACATATGTTGTTGTGTGCAGGCTTTCATGGAAGATGTCAAATCCAGAGGGCCCTACATCTACTCGGTGTTGGAATCAGCTCAGACCTTCCTTTCACAACACCCCTTCCAGGAGCCTGAGGAGACATTGCCTGATGGCAAAGGTTTGTTCCCTAGTGATGAAAGGTGGTTAATGAACCGTTTTGAAACATTTAACTAAGCGTCATGCCATTGTGGTCCTGTGGCTCCAGAATAGTTAGTCACATGATATTTAGGGCTAAGGTGATTGTCTCAAAAACAAGGGGGTTTCCCTTCGTAACATTATGTGATTGCCACTAGCAATGTTTCCATTCAGATAAATGTTTCATTAAAGTTTGATTCATGGGGAAAAATAAGAATCCTGCTAAAACAATTTCCCAATAAGTGCTTGTGATTGGAAACAGATGCCTTATGTCTAGGCAATAGCATGTCAGATAGTTCTAGAAGGTAATAAATAGTTCAGTACCAAAAAAAACTACTCTTAATGAGTTTTAATTAATACATTTTAATTAGTTTTTTTCAAGATCATTTTTCAGTGAAAATATATAAAATTTCTTAAAACTAGTGCTGTCAAACGATTAATCGTGATTAATCGCATCCAAAATAAAAGTTTTTGTTTACGTAATATATGTATGTGTACTGTGTATATTTATTATGTCTATATAATTACAAACACATACAGTATATATTTTGAAAATATTTGGATGTATATACATTTATATATTTATATTCTTATATTTTATATATAAATATATTTAATATATAAACATAACATCTTTTTCTTAAATATATACATGCATGTGTTTGTATTTATTTAAAAAAAACTTTTATTTTGAATGCGATTAATCGTGATTAATCATTTGACAGCACTACTTAAAACTAAATAAAATAACTCTATAAGCAACACCACATTAGATATTAAGGTTTGTTGTCATAGATTCATCTTGAATGTGTGTTTTTTCTTATTTTTAAGTTTAAAAATCCTCTCGTTTTTAGCTTATTTATACTTAAAACAAGTGAAAAAAACCTTGGGTCATTTTTTACGCAGTTATGCCTTGCAAGTACATTTATTTTTAAATATTTTAACTGGAAAATTAGACAAAATACTTTTTTGCAATATTCTTATGACAATAAATGCATACCTTGGTGTTTCCCCTTCACCTTTTTTTAATGCAATATCCCAAAATTGCATAAAAATATGCGAATGGATACCTAGACATTGACGGGCAGCTCTATTAAGTCCGTATTATAATCCACATTAACCCAGCACAGATGCATAGAATTTGCCTCCTCACATGTAGGCCATCAGCCCAATTCTGCATCCACATGTCATCATGAGTGTGTCTGTGTCATATGGAGCAATTAATAATGGAGAGATCAAGGCTGTTGTTTTCACTCTGTTAGCTCATAGCCTCTCTGTTACTCCCTATTCTTCCCCTCCTCTCCGTCACAGAAGGCTCTCCTCGCCGGCGAATGCTGAATGTAAGTCGCTCCGTATGGAAGCAGGCCAATGTGGCCAGTGACCTGTGGGAGAAGTTGACAGCGCGCTGCGTGGACCGACACCGGCACATGGAGCGAACCCTGGAGAGGCTGCTGCAGATCCAGGCCGCCATGGAGGAGCTGGCTGTGGCTCTGGAGCAGGCGGAGGGAGTAAGGGACGCCTGGGAGCCTGTGGGAGACCTGTTTATTGATTCGCTGCAGGACCATATAGACGCTACCAAGGTAATACGTCTTCGGTGTCCTGATCACAAGTGATTAATGCAGACAAATGGCTGTTTGCACTTTTGTGATTGGATTTTAAAGGGGATGGTGTCTGATTTAGTAACTGCATACATCAGTTACTACTTCAGTGTGTTACTGCATGCTCAAAGCATAACAGAGCAAAAAAAAGTCAGCTTCAATTCAATTCAAGTTTATTTGTTTAGCGCGTTTCACGATACAAATCGTTGCAAAGCAACTTTAAAGCAAATTAAGTTTCTACAATATTCAGTGGTAGCTTATCAGTGGTCAGTTAATGTACATATGGCAGAAATGTGCGGAAAAATCAATTAAAGACGTAATCAAACAGATTTTCGTCTGGTCTTGTTGAGATATATAGTTGAGTATCATCAGCATAACAGTGGAAACTAATCCCGTATTTTCTGATAATATTACCAAGGGGCAACATGTATATTGAAAATAGCAGAGGACCTAGGACAGATCCTTGTGGTAGCTTCCAGATATATCTGAGTCTCCCTGCAGATGTGATGTTTTGAGTAGAATTGCCAAGGTTATTTTAGTCATGCTTGCCGTAATTCATATGATCTGTGTCACTGCGTGACAGGAGATTCTGTAAAGTCATCTGCGTGTATGTGTACCAATTATTTTATTTATTTATTTTTTAAAGGTGCACGGAACCGTCAACATAAACGTCAAGTTTCAACATAATATAGGCACAGTGGTTGATTGATGTGAGTAGGCGGACTTTCAGGATTATTCAGGGTTCATTAGAGTCTACACAACATTATGTGATGTTAAATCACAGTGCACATACCAGTTCTATAGTTACAAACAGGTATCATTGCAACAGTATTGTTGTTGTAACAACTATTCATTGAATTAGATCTATTTTGGTAGTAGTGAATACAACTTTATAAAATACCCAAAAGTGCAGTATTACATCTTGCATTGGTAGGCGTATTTAAGTATTAAAAAAGTGATTTTGACTTGATTTTGACTTTTGTATGGGTGGCTGCTGAGACCCTGTGATCCATGTACCCAATTTACTTTTAGATGTGCTGTTTAAATAGATTAAATAGATAGGTTCAGTGTGCATTTATATTTTTATAAATGTATTTTTATGGTCAGATGTTGATGTATTATGTGAGGCGTTCTGATGGACTTTAGATATTTTTTCATATGTTAGTGGACCTCACAGCTTGCTCAGTTACTAATTCTAAGATTTTTTATTAAGATTTTCAGCCAGATTGTAATGAGACTCTCCACAGGGCACAGTTCTTTAATGGCATAGAAGGTCTTTTACTTTTTCCTCTCACTTCATTTCGCTGTAGGGTTTAAGCAAGTGATTTTTTTTTCAGACTTTAAATTAGATGTACTTTGAATGTGTGATGTGATTTGCTCCTGATGTGAATGTTCTTGAATCAAATAGATTGTTGTTGGTTTTTTCAAAACTGAAAATTATTTTTTCAGTTTTGAAATGTTTTTGTTCACTCTTTTTCATTACACTTTTGTTTTTAAAATGTTATTTTTATTTATTAATTTTGTCAGATATTTCTATTTGTTTTTAATTAAAAGCTTTAAATTATTAATTTATTATTTTATCATATTACGTTATTTTATTTTATTTTATTTCAGAATCAAAAGGAATAAGAATGAGCTTTAATCGCCAAAAAGTTTGCAAAAACCCACAAGGAATTTATGGTTTCTCAGAGCTCTACGTACTTATGTACAGTATATGCAACTGTATAAATATCAATATCTGCATAATAAGCATCTATTGCCTAATGCCCAGATGGCATAAAAAAAGCATAAGTACACTGAAAAAAAAAAAAAATTCTATCTCTTTATTTATTCCTTCTCTTTCTAGCTTGTACTTATTTGAACAATGTCTAGAAAATTGGTATTACAGGCACTTCCTGTATCTGTTTGCCTCTTTAAGAAGAATCACTTTATGTATCCCCAATTGTAAGTCGCTTTGGATAAAAGCGTCTGCAAAATGACTAAATGTAAATGTAAATGTGAAATACAAAAACAGGTATTAAGTAGTGGGTATGCTAGCTGTTCCAGGTGAAGATGGCCTGTGGAAAAAACCTTTCTCGTGGCTCGATGTTGTTGTGCACAGCGATCTGTAGCATCTGCCTGAGGGCAGAACAGAAGATTCAGACTGTGTCGTAGGTGAGAAGGGCCTGTGATGACTTTACCTGCTCATTTCTTAAGTCTGGAGATCCTGAAAGTTGGGCAGGTGCATACCAGTTGTCCTCTAAGCCATCCTAACGGCCATAATATGTCCAGTGGCATACCACCATTTACTTTCTGGATCTTCTTTGTACGGTTTCCAGCCTGTGTGTTTTAGTCTTTTCTGATAATAGTACAGCTCACTCGGCTGTATGCTGCTATTAGTTTTGCCCTTAAGATACTGCACTCAGTCATTTGACTATGATAAAACAGAGAAATTAGTGTCACAACAATAAAAGGACTGAAAGATGGGGCATCTGAATATGTTATCCTGTAATCTACCATGCTATTCCGAAACGTATCTCCCTAATGTTTCCCCTCGTAATCTACCAGCGATGATGTAGAGACCCAGACTCCTACAGCTGTGCAGTAGGAGGTCTTTTTATTGACGATATGATCATGGTTGTTCCCGTGGAGATAAGCAGAGTTATTATAGATATGGAACAGTGTAGGTATCTATTTACAGTAATACCTTGTGCATCAGTGAGTCAGAGTTTCTGTTCTGCCGTCCGGATCTCAAAAGGCTTCCTTATGTGTGGAAATTAAATTTCAGTTTTTTTATTAATGTAAACATGTTTTTTGTGATGTAATGTACTTTTTTTGTGAATAGCACAGCATAGTACAGTACATGTGCAAGTACCCTGATGCAATATGTTGAGTTTTTAATTCAGGCTGAAGCCGGACTCCGTGAACTGACATGTTCGTGTTACGCTCTGACAGGAGGTGGAACATTTATCAATGTTTCCCCTGCTGTCAAAACCGGCAAGCACATGGCAGGTCTTGCAGACTTACAGTTTCTCATTCGTTTTCCTGGCTGCATGTCAAGTGTATGAACAGGCCATAAGATCAAGGCTCCTGCTGTCCTACTGCTCCTACAGTTACCTCTTGCCTGGGACCCCATGTATACGGTGGGGTTCTTTTGATTTATTCCTGAAAAAATATATATATTTTGAAGTAATCTAATTTTATTTTTATTAAATAAATGAATGAACATTAAATTGACCAAAAGTGACAGTAAATACATATTACATTTTTTTTTTACTTTCTGGTCATCAAAGAATCCTGGGAAAAATGTATCACGGTTTCCACAAAAATATTAATCCGCATTAATCAGCTAATCAGAACTGTTTTCTTTCGAATATTCTTCATATTAGAATGATTTCTGAGGGATCATGTGACACTGAAGACTAGAATAATGTCTGCTGAAAAATCAGCTTTGCCATTACATTAATAAATTATATTTTAAAGTATATTAAAATAGAAAACAGTTATTTGAAATTGTAATAATATTTCGCAATATTACTGGGTTTTTTTAATCAAACAAATGCAGCCTTGGAGTGCCAAACTTCAGTTCAACTTTTAACTTACAAAAATATTTCTCCCTGCACTTTTAAAAAAATTATCTTGCGACCAGCTTGCTGTCACACACATTGAGTCTTTTCACACTTACACATACACACATTTGGTGCAGTTTCACTCTCTGCCATCGACAGATTGGGTCTCTCTTGCACTTATGCCCAGTGTGGCACCTCAATGTAAGTGTGTGGAAGGAAGCGAACAGCGGTGGTGGATGAAATGAAAATGGACAAGTATAGGCTGTGAATGGATTAAAACATCTCTTTAAACATTAAAATATCCACCCTATGCTCAGCCTGTCAATATCAGGACGTTTTATTGCTTTAAATCAGAACAGACATAGTTGTAACACTCAACAAATATAACATAACAATACACAGTGCACCCAGGAATCAGATGGAAAGTCCATGTAAGGAATTCATGGCATGAAGTGAAAAGATTATGAGGTGTTGATCATCCATCTCTTTTTTGCTTTCTGTTGTAGCTATTTAAAGAAGAGCTGACCCAGGTGAAGGAAGGAATGAAACACATAAATGACCTGGCCCACCAGCTGGCCATATCCGATGTGCACTTGTCCATGGAGAACGCCAGAGCTCTGGAGCACCTCAACAACAGATGGAAACTTCTGCAGGTAGTGAATTCACACCATCTTTATCTCATCCTTAACCTGCCCACCATCACTAATGGACCCCTATGGAGATCATACAGTGCAATGGTCACTATTGACGGCAATGGCTCCAGCCAGCTAAGTTAGTGCATATACACTATGAAAAATCTTAGCTTAGGAGATGGAATATAATACGCCGGTCCTGCCTGGCTGAGAGCGGTGATGGCTCCATTATCATCGGTCATGGGGAGTGCCTTATGTCTACATGCTCATGGGAAAACAAAGGCCTTTCCGGCGAGATGTAAAATGAAATTGAGTGTTTCGATTGCATCTGGCTGTTTTATGTGTGAGATGAGCTTAAGAGAGCCAGAAAGAAATGCAGGAAGAATGAGAAGTACTCTTGAGTGTGGGGGAGTGTGTAAATCCAGTTATCGAAAAATGACTATGAAATGCATATCTGCAGCAGTTTGTGTGACCTAATGTGACAGAAGACAAACAGCACAAGTTTGCGTGATCATATCTCTTTGTCTTTGTAGCATGAATGTCATGAGAAATGCTCTGTTGATGAATCCTTGGGTTTTAATGCGCACATTTTTATGCATGTTTGATAGGGTTTTAATGGAATCACAAATTTAAAATGAATGTATATTAAATAATATATTATATTTAATTAATAATATGATATCCTTATTGATTAATGACATGCAAATAACTGTATATTTGCTGAAATATGACCCCAGATGAAAGCAGACTGCTACACTGGTCCATTTGTAACAAAACCTAAAGAAACCCTGCAGAAATGAAAATAGTAACTTACTGTACATGGTGTTACAAACCCAAATGACATTCAGTTTTTGGGGTGAACTACTCCATTACTTATCAAATAACTTTGATTTAGTGTGTAAAGTAATCCATTCTTGAGTCTGACTGTTTCTCTTTCTTCACTTAAGGGGTCTATTGAAGAACGTCTGAAACAGTTGCAAGATGCCCACAGAGATTTTGGCCCCGGATCACAGCACTTTCTTTCCAGTAAGTGTGGTAACTCACTTGAAGCCGTAGAGTCTTCTGCCGGAGTGTGATGCTGAGCACCGGGAGAGGGGAGGGCTAATGGAGCTTAGCGGAGAGGGGTTGGCAGGACTGTGTTTAAGTGGGCAGAGTGGGCTGTGACTTTATTTATTCTCGCTGTCACTCACTGCCCTGTCTAATATTGCAGGACAAAGACAGTGCCTGCTACACACTTAGCCTCATTTAGAAGTTGTCCAAACTTTTCTGGCTCTCTAATTCACTACAAATCAGTACTACATTTACTACGTTAAACGAAGACACAGGGAATGGCAATTTCAAGTGACATTCCAAGAAGTTGGTCTTATCGTGGAGCATTTGGACACGGTCTGGGCAAAGATTTGACCCTCAGTTATGAACGAGGCTCGCTTAAATACTCACAACTGAATTTTAAAGCTGCGTTCAGTCCTTTTTTGCTTATTAAAATAGGGTTTACACATAAATACATGAAAAGCACTATAGAGAAATATCACTCAAAAGATATGTAAAATCCTGTAGCATTTGGACCAATCAGACACACAACTTTTTGTTATATTTAACAAATAATATCGAACTCCCCATCACCTAACCAAATGGCCAATTACGAGGGTCTATGGACCCTTCCCCCGAAATGCACCTAACACCTCAGAAAGGCAGAACAGGCCTCTGGAACTTCCTTTTTCAGACCCCCTCACTTATTTATTTGTTCCTAAGATTTATTCCTCTGATCGTTTTTTCACGGCTGCTAGTGCTATAGAGGAAGGCACGAGTACATGTTGCAGTACAGTATGCAGCACACATGTATCGGCTTTGTGGAGATGTTTCCCTTAAAATGATACATTTTCTCAGTTTAAACATTTGATATGTCATCTATGTTGTATTCTTATTGAAATTTGAAACTTCCACATCATTGCATTGTGTCCCAACTTTTTTGGAATCGGGTTTGTACATGCCTATTCGTCAGATTTGAATTCAAGCAGTGTTTAGCCATGAGCTTTTCTTTGAATGTCATCAAGGCAGCCATTGTGGATATAAGCACGCAATGGCTCTGAGAATCTTTGTTCAAGATTACTGTGATTGTGAGTACTCTCTCACTATATTGTGGAAATGTTTCAGATTTACGGGATGGCATATTGGTGCCTATATATTTTAAAACTTATAACCATATATTAGACCAAGTGATGTAATGTTAATATACCAATTCTACTTGAACTATCTAAATCTTCTTGAATTATCAAAAGCTTTTTACTGTAAAATGTACTAATAATCACTTTATTAATGCAGGTGGTAAAAAAAAAACAATGAATTAGAGTTCATCATAAGAGGCTTTTGCATAAAACATGGACAGTACTCATACTGTATACAGACAGTGCACAGGGTCATACACACAAAGACAACCCATAGGAAAGAAAAATCAAAAGTGAGATCTCTTTAACATCTCAAATATTTCTCCTAGACAGAAATGAGGTTACTTTAAGATCGAATGGGGATTTTTGCTTGAGTCTCCTGCTTCTCAAACTTGTCTCCTGAGACAAAAACTCTAACACTCTCACAATGGTCTCCTTTAAAGCTTTAAAAGAGATCTTTCCATTCAATTTCCATTAAATCTTAAGGTAACCTAATTTCTGTCTAGGAGAAATATTTGAAATGTTAAAGAGATCTCTTTTTTTATTTTATTTGCCTTCTCTCTGGTTAGCTTCAATGCATGTATCCACACCATTTCAATAAAAGACAATACATGCATTGTCATATTTGAAGTTGTTTTATGTAGACAGCGCTTTATTGCACAGTGATTTAACAGAGGAAACCATAACCTATATTTACATACATGCAAAATGGGCTGTACAATACAAAATTTTAATACTAAACAAAGCAAAAAAAACAAAAAAAACACTGGTACACTAGTGTTGCATTTGTGAAAAAAAGGTATTGCTCTTGTACTAAACATCTTGCACTTGTAAGTCCTTTCTAGTGTGTTTGGAAAATGTGGTGTATATACAGTATTGGACATTGAAGATAAATTTAAACATTTAAACTAGTAACTCTTGATTTTCTGAAATGTTTAATGGTTTTTGAAATGTTAGTTTTAGTATTTACAATATTAGTAAAAGTTTAACGTTTCTCCTAAAATAAAACTGAAGACATCTTAAGACAAAGCTGAGATCTCAATGAGACATATAAGAGAATCAGCCATTAGTATCCTGAGCATAGTAACCTCTGTCAGAGACATAGCCTTGTGGGCAGCACATCGACGTGAAGCTCAACTGCACCTCAAACAGCATGGGTTTGAATCCCAGCTAAAGGTACTTTCCTGCTCCTGTCCAATTGTTTCCTGTCTCTACTCCTACTGTCCTGACCATTAAAGGTGAAAAACCCCATTGTAATAAAAAAAGCAACCTCTGAGCAGTAAAACGTTTTTATAATGGAGTCTTGCAAGAGATTACAGCAAGACAATAAAGAGATCTCCCATGTTTCTCTCCTATTGTCATTTTTGGATTCCTTTCTTTCAGAACTTTCTCATGTCTCAGTTGTGTCTACTTTTATTTCTCCTAAGGATTTTTATGAGAAACATCTGAGACACTGTTGAGACTAAAATGAGAAATACATGAGAATCACAACTAAGTCTCCTGAGGTTAGAAAGAGCAACCACTGAGCAATAAAATATTCCTATAATGGAGTCTTGATAGAGATTGCAGCAAGACAATAAAGAGATATTCTTTCCACCACATTCTCAGTTTTGACTCTTTTTTTCTCAAATATTTCCCATGTCTCATTTGTGTCTGAAATGAACTTTTCCACGACATTCTAATTTATTGAGATGCACCTGTAAGTCTCCTGAGCTTAGGATAAGCAACCACTGAGCAATAATTAACCAGCCCGACCTCACAGGAAAACTATTTTACGAGGTGCCGAATTTGTATGAATTCGTACAATGTGAATCTAACCGATAACATGCTTTTTAGAAAAAATATGAAAATAAAAAATATAGAAAAAAAAAAGCATGAAGGTCAACCCCTTATCCCACCACTAACCATAACAGTCACTGAGAGGTAAGCAGATTGTGTGACGAATTATCCACCCATTCACTAAAATGTACTAAATGTACTAGTTACTAAAAAGTGCCATGAGATTGTGTTTGGGCAACACACGACACAAGAAAATGCAATAAACATTAACTAAATAACAGAAAATGTGTCAACAAACATAGACTGTATAAAAACATGGACGTAGTGTCCGTGACGTCACCCGTAGGTTTGCGAAGAGCGTTTTTGAAGCTCAAAGTGGGCGGAGGCGGCCGTCACCATCTTGGCAGCGCATCACTCTAGGATAATCGAAAATGGGCAAAGAGGCGGGAGCTGGTTGCTGAAACCACGCCCACCTAGCTCGACAGTGGTGACAGCAGCGGCAATCCACCTGTCACTCAAGTGGCCACGCCCTTAATTATGCAGAACTTTAAGGCTTAATATAATTTAAACGGATGAGTTATAATCACCCCCCTCACAGTTGTCATGAAGGGCAAAATTAGCTATATAGACCAAAATAATTTTTTGAACCAGGCTGTAAACGTTTTTTCTGCTGTAAAGTTGGGCATTTTAACATGTGGAGTCTATGGGATTGACGTCCTTTTGCAGCCAGACTCTAGCGGCCAGTTGACGAATTACAGTTTAAGTCACTTCCATATTGGCTTCACGAGAGAAAGCGGGAGGTTGCCGCTTGATCACAAATCACCCTAATGTACTTTACTGATAACAAAAATAAGAATAAAAAAAATTATTTATATAAAATATAATCATATGTGATGTGTCACGCAAGGAATTTTGGGAACTTACTGTTTTTCACTGTAAATTATACAGTAATTTGTAGTTTTTTACTTGCAAAAATATAAATGTGACTGTATTTTACAGTAAAATGACATATAATGTGGTCAAACCTACAGTTCTTCACTGTATATGGTCAGGTCACAAGTTAACCAATTGCCAGATTTTACTGCTTTACAAACCCTATGGTTTTGTATAAACACATTTTTATAGTGCACATAAAGGCTTCTTTTATAGTTTACTCAAAAATGTATATTCAGACATCATTTATGCACCCTTCACTCCTCCAAATATAAAAGGAGTTTTCATTCTGTCGCAAAAGGTGAAAAGCTGTTCCTGTGCGCGTCGTAACCATTTGCCAAATTTGAATATGCAGAAAGCGGCAGCAGAGGGGAAATTGTTCAGTCCGTAATGACTAAAATTTGCATTTGTGTTGCATAGAAGTAACAAAGTCATATGGGTTTGGAGTGCCATGAGGGTAATAAATAATGAAAGAATGAATAAATAATGACAGAATTTCATTTTTGGGTGAACAAGTCCTTTAATGTTTCTCTCACGTGTGTTCTCTCTCCTCTCTCTATGGTTTTCTATTTTTGGCTTCGCTACTCTGCTTTTACTCTACTCTTTTCTCTCCCCTTTGATAGCCATCAGGCTCAGACAACCTGCTGGGACCATCCAAAGATGACTGAATTATACCAAGCTCTGGGTGAGGCAATTAAACACAATTAAACTCTGCTCTTATATCTTCTGTGTCTACTTCCCACTGGGGAACCATAGTATGGTTCCCCACACGCAAGCTCAAATACACCAACTAGAAGACGGTCTCACACTGAGCTCGGTTTCTTTACCTGAATCTCTCATTATAACCTAATATTTCATCCCATCCCAGAGATGTCAACAGCGCTCTCATTAACCCAGGGGCAGCTGGGCCAACCTTACGATTGCATTGCCAACTTCTAATTAATAATGATTAAAGGGCGTTTACTGTGTGTGTTAATCTGATGCGATGTGACGCGGGTTGTCTAAACACTCCGGCACGGCATGAGCATAAACCGCTCAACCCCACCGAAGTGACACATTGCTTCCTGTCTCTCTGTTTGCCTATGTCAGAGCTCAGCTATTCTTTTGCTGCTTTTTTTCTCTCCTCATGAATGATATTCTCTCTTTTTCCTCTCCCATCTCCCCTGCTGCTCTCTCACAGCGGACCTGAACAATATCAAGTTCTCTGCATACCGGACTGCCATGAAGCTGAGGCATGTGCAGAAGGCTTTAAGATGTATGTAGAAAGAAGCACCCACACTGGTTTGCCCTTTTCCCTCTACTGCTCTTTGAGCGCAAGGCATTGATTATTTGTGAATTTCGCGTACAGATCTGGCCCTGCTGTGCGCCTCTGATCCGTCTTTTTCATTAAAGCCCAGTGATTTTTATGCAGCTTAATTAAGCCTAATAATTGGTGTGATTGTACTTCTTCGGGGGAGGTAATTAAGAAGTCTGCATGAGGAATTAACCACTGTTCCTCCCGCGACACGCTGTGCGGGTGGAGGTTTATCTGCCACTGTCCAGACAGCAGCTTTCTCTCGTTGGCAGTTCCCTTCTTTCCTTCAGCCTCTCCACTGTGCACATAATATGAATATAAAAATTATTTCAGGAGCCCTTCAAAAAATAATATGGCACTGAAAAAAAATCTGCTATAATACATTGAAAAATTTATGATTTATGTGTTGCTTGCAAAAGATATTATTTTCTTACAATACACATCTACCCCTGAATGTCCATCAACAGTAAAAAATGAAACGGATGTTGTTATATTACATCTAACTAGCCAAACTTTGGCTCCTTTGCGGAGAGTTTTGAACCCAATGGGTCATTCTATAAAACTGGTGCCTTTCCCTTTTGAGAAGCTGATTTATGCAAATAACCAAGGAAAATTGTTTTTTTCAGCTGTTACTAAAATCTATTGTACCATCTCAAGCTAAACACACACATATACACACATACAGTATAAAACTAGTTATGTCTTCATAAAATTTACAAGTTGATGGATTTACAGTTTTATTTGACGTTGCAAAAGTTTTACTCAAGTTTGTGAAACTAGGTGCTTGTTTTCTACAAATTTTGTTCAAGGTAACAGGTTTAAGATTGCCCTCAATTGACAAACATGTCAAAACAAATTATAAAGTATAATAGAGGAGACTTACTTGTCCTTGAAAAGTTTGCATCTTGAAAGGATGACGCCACGTACAAAATATATTTCAGAATTTCAAATAATTTTTTATTAGTTAACATTAGCAACAGTCTAACACACAAAAACTATATATACCTGAATGGAGAAAGAGATAAATAAATGAATTCCTGGTTTTCGTAAATGTTTCGAAAAATGTCTGTAATAACAGTAGAAGTTCAGCTTCAGCTGTCATTTATTTTTTTATTTGTTTGTTTTATATTTTTACACAAATGTACATGAAGGAAAACAGATTGCACCTGTATTGTAGAATCATCCTCATGGAGAAAACATGTTCATGGCCACATAAGCAAGTTGAATCCACTACTGAGCATGGCATGTTACTGCTTAGGACAAGTTACTGCTTGCATCTCTCTTTCTCACACACACACACTCCTGGTTTGCTAGTCCATGTCATTAGCTGAATTAATAACCAGGCTGCTATAGAAACGGTGCTTTTTTGTGTGCCTGGGTCTGATGATTGAGGATGGCTGTATAAAATGAGCATCTACAAAGGCCTGTTAGAGTCTCTAGCAGCCCACCTAACCCTGAAAGCACCGTGGCCGTGCTGCTTCCATATTTCAGCTCATTATCCAATTAGGATGACATCAGCATACAGCATTAACCCTGTACTCTCACTGAGTAATTATTTACTTGTTATTTCTAGTCTACTCGACTAGAGATTGCCAGAGGCAAAGATCTTATAGCAGTCAAATCAAATTAGTTAACACTCCACACACGTACAATAATAAGCATCTGGCCTATATATATATATATGTGTGTGTGTGTGTTTTTCTAGTGGACCTGCTGAAGTTAAGCAGCGTGGTGGACGTGTTTCGAGAACAGGAGCTGCAGCATGCCGAGCATGTGATGGATGTGGTGGAGGTCATTCACGCTCTCACTTCCCTGTATGAGAAACTAGAGGAGGAGAGGTCCATCCTGATCAATATCCCCCTGTGCGTCGACATGTGTCTCAACTGGCTGCTGAATGTTTACGACAGGTACTGACGGTAATGTCACTCACGACCCATTTGACCTGCTCCAACAAATGATGTCAAACCAACCCTGCACCCTCCTGCTGTCTGTGAGACACTTTTACTGGTCAGTCACACACTGCGTCCTGTATCTGGGATTTAAGGGTTAATGATGTGACACTTATGTGACACTATATACAGTATATATATATAGCTGAATACAAAGAGTATAGTTTCTAAGAACTTGGCACATGTGTTTCAAAGATTTTTAGATTTTTTCATTTTATTTAATGTGGACACTCTTATACGTCATTGACCCTTAAATCTTTCACTTATAGGCAAAGCTGTGTATTCCGTGTTCCACAGTTAAGTGAATTAAAAGATGACTATGGCACTGAGACATCACCAGCAGGCAGCAAATCAGACTGTAGGAGTTAAAAGCCCCACTGCTTGACTCCAAGTATAGCATTCTGTGCCAAGCTCTTAGCTTCTTAGCCAACGTAAAAAAAAAAACAGATTAATTTATTTAATTATTTACTTGTTTTTCATTATCCTTCGTGAATTTGTCTCAAACATATACTAGACTCTTAACTACCTGCTGCTAATGACTGGAAATCAGAGCTCTCACTCTACGAATAATTGGTAGTAATTGCTTTTTTGTTTTGCTACAAACGCTGGATGTGAATAAGAATGAGCAGCATGCATGAGGATGATAATGACAAGCTCTCAGTCAAACAAGAAAGCCAAACAAGGTAGGAAATGTTCCCTTTAGTAGCAATACTGACGGGATTTCTTGTTATACAAAGCAAAATGTGATTTGGTAGTGTTTGATCAGTTCTCTAGCAAATTTTTTATTTTTTTTTGCATCTGTACAGCAATCTGTTTCGATTTGCTCGTGAGATCTTGGTCTCAGTGGAGCTCAAATGCTTCCTGACCTGTTTTAGAATCTTTTTTTGACAGGCCTATCTGGTGCAATAAGTGTGAAATATATTTTCCTGTAAGCATAAAACATTGAATAAGACAAGAAATGTACCACTATACAAATATCTAAAAGTACACTGTGTACATATATACTTGCTGTATCACTGTATTTTGCTCGGCTAGCAGTAGCAGCTACTGGCAACCTCCTCATTAAGGATTCAGATGGCTTGGAGGAAGTAACTTCATATGTTGACCATATATCCATGGTAGCATGTTAATGACTGTAGTGAGAAAAGGCAGTTGCTGGGATGATTTTACATTTTTTTTTGCATTGTGTAGTACATGGAGAGAGCGCAGACTGTACAACATAATGCAGGGCCCTTTCAGTCCTGTTTGGTGCCGCTTACTGTAGTTACTCCATAGTCATACTAATTGACAAGATCATTTCAATAAAGAACACATTTTTAAATGTGTGTTTGTGTTTCTTTCTCCAGTGGTCGTAATGGTAAGATGCGAGTGCTCTCCTTCAAGACGGGCCTGGTTATTCTATGCAGTGCAGACATCCAGGAAAAGTATAAATGTAAGTAGAGGGCTGTGTCACATAAACTTGATGTCTTTCTGTACAGTCTGTCTTCCCAATTTTCTGTCCTTTATTTCTACCCCTAAACCCTTACAGTAACCTTTTTTCATGAAGCCATATTTAAGCCACCATGACGAAGTCTTTTATCCCAGCAAAGGCTGCATTTATTTGATCAAAAATACACTAAGAACAGTAATATTGTGAAATATTATCACAATTTATAATAACTGTTTTCTATTTTAATAGATGGTTTTAATGGTATGTTAAGTTTTACTATCCTTGTTAGGACTTTTGGACCCCACACCATCTGCAAAACCTGACCCACACACCACCTTATCCTTTTTTGTTCCTTCTTCTTCTTTTTTTTAAATCTGTGGTCCAGTAACTCTAAAGTGAAAATGACCGTGCCACAGTGTAAAGTCCTAGACTTTCTCTCACAGGGTTTCCCTTCCAATCTTCTCTAATGCTTTAAAATTTCATCTGTGGCGTAAAATCTCATCTGCTGTTGTGAGAGAGGGTTAGGGGGTAATTTGACAGGGCAGACACAAGCAGGACCCAGTAAATAAGAGTCACGCATAGTGCACTGCAGAAAGCATTAGAGGAGAAGAGTCCGAGCCAGATGTGGACATCCTCGAGTTAGAATACAACCATCATAACTCCAAAACATTGACTAAAAATGTTTTATATCTGTAAAGGTAATGAGCACTGAATGATTGGTCTGTCTTGATCGCTTTGTTACCAATGTGCCATTTCAATAGTAAAAAGCACATGAGCTCTTACTTAAGAGTGTGTATACAGGGGGACCTATTGGACATGTAAAGATTAAGGCCATGCAGGGCCCCGGGGCATCAGCCTCTTTGTGGAAAATGCAATTTTTTTCCTGTTGGAAAATCCTGTTTAGAATGATAGCTGCGTTTTGGAACAAGCTGATCTAAACTGGTCATTAATTGGTTGACCAGCCATGTTGTTCCAAATCCAACTGGATCACCATAAGTAGCTGGTTTGTTGGTGGTGTACGAGCTTATACCAGCCAAGCATAGGCCAAAAGAAGCCAGCTACTAGCTTAAATAGCATTTTCCATCAAAAAATAGACTTTGTAATAAAGTCCCAATTTTGTTGCAATAAAAGTTGCAATAAAAATTTAATATTGTTGCAGTTTCAAAAATAATCACACCTCGTGTGCAATACTTTCCAAAAGAGACACCAGTGTACAATGAATATTATACAACATCAAAGCTGCAATAAAGGATTCTGTGAGTGCTGAGGAGGGACCAGGAACAAATAACATCTCTCATTTCTTTGTTTATTTCATATCATGCCAACAGCCACTGGCACAAAGTGCTGTTCATCTGTCTATATCAATTTTACATCTACAGTGGCTTGTTTTTGGGTGTTAGGCCTGTTAGCTTGAGGGCCCTGGCAGTCAGAGGATCCGGGGGTCTGGCCTTGATTGACCCATCCATAATCTGTCCTTGGACTAGACTATGTATGAGTCTGGTTTACATGTAAGTGAATGTGTGTGCCCGCACAGCAGGAAGGTTTGTGTGTGCCACCCACTTTAGATGGTGCTATTTTTACTGGCACTGCAGAGAACATTCTCACTCCTGTCAGGATCATTCTGCTCAGTGATGGCTAGATTCATGACACATACTGTTTGAGTCGTTCGGCTCTCTCGGCTAATGTTAGCCTTTTGTCCACATTTACACCAGTGCTTGCACACACTTGCATATCTTGCCAGACTCCACTCTGCCAAAATGACTTTGTTGCTTATCAAATATTTGTATTTTCCAGTGAGAAAAAAAATCCAGACATCTTTAAAGCAAGGTGATTTACTTGAAGCAAACTGCACAATATACATCACAACTTGTTTTATGTATATCTTTAATTTAATCTTTAAAGGGGTCATATGGTGCGATTTAAATTTTTCCTTTCTCTTTGGAGTGTTACAAGCTTTTGGTGCATAAAGAAGATCTGTAAAGTTACAAAGACTAAAGTCTCAAATCCAAAGAGATATTCTTTATAAAAGTTAAGAGTCAACCACACCTACCTAAAACGGCTCGTTCTGACTCGCCCCCACATACCTGCGTCACTATCTGGGAAAATTTGCATAACGCTGCCCAAATGTTCACGCAAAGAAAGAAAGCGTAACTTTTATTCTCACTGTAGTATTGTTGTTGCCGCCGCTGCCATGTCGTGAAGGTGCTGTGTGTTTCGTTGTGAAAGCGAAACTTCTTTGTTTGTATATCTATATCCGCTTCATCATGCCTAGAGCTGATCCGTGCTGGTCGCTGAGGAAATACATCAACTTCACGCTGTGGATCGCCGAATCGGCTTTCACCGTGAACGAAGCAGAGTCCAGCCTGGGGTCATCACACGTGGTTGCCGCAAGCCCGCCCTCCCGCCGCCACTCACTCAAGCCGGCCTCCGCTCACTCTAGGCCGCTGGCCGCCGCTACTCTAGGCCTCCGGCCTCCGCTCACTCTAGCCCGTTGTTTGTCATTTCTCCGATCACAAATGCAGACATGGTTTTATGTTTACGCGCCGTGATGCAATGCAACGCGTAAACAGACAGTATGAGTCATTATAATCCGGAATTATGTCCCCACTGGATGCAACAAATGCCTCGTTTATAATGGGTTTTAATGTTTTTGTCTTGTCGCTCCGGTCGGACAGGGCATCACCATATGGTAGGCAGCGTAACATTTCCGTCACACGCTTGAGGTATTCGGCCAATCACAATGCACTGGATAGCTGGCCAATCAGAGCACACCTCACTTTTCAGACCAATGAGCTTTGTAAAAATCAATGTGTTTCAGAAAGGTGGGGCATAGAGGAGAAACAATAATGTACAGTATGTGGAAAAGAATGTGTTTTTTGAACCTTAAACTGCATAAACACATTTCATTACACCAAATACACAAAATATTGTTCTTTTTAGCAACATCATATGACCCCTATAAAAGTTGTTTTTCTAAATATTCTTTTTAATTGAAGGATATCTATAGTTAAAATGAGAAAATACAATTTGTAAGACAGTGTTATTATTAGTATTATTTACTTAATTTTATATTATTTATTAATATTTTAAATTAGTTTTTATTTTTGTATTTTGTTTGTTAGTATTTGTGGTATGTGCTTTTGACATTTTGATTAGTTTTTGTTATTTATATTTCTGTTTAGGTTTAATATCTTTTTACCCCAGTTTTAGTAATTTTAATATTTCCATTTACTTCAGTTACTTGCCAAGGCGCATTTCTAATTTTAGGTTTAGTTTTAGTTTAGTTTTAGTTTTTTTTTTGTTGTTGTTTTTTTTTAAGTTTCAGTTTTCCATCAAATAGTTATATTTTATTTTATTTCAGCTTTATTTCAATAATAAATTTTTTAACAGTAATAAAATTGACCACAGGGGGAAGAAAAAACTTAATTCATATATTCTGAAATGAAAGTATTGATTCTTTTTTTATATATTTTTACTATTAATTAATTTTTCTTTTTTTTTTGCAGTGCCAACATATCACACATTAAAGTGTGAGCCATCTCGCCTCACACCTCTATAACCTAAAGCCATTTAAGTCTCACATTCTCAGTTTGCCCACCTCCAGGTTTCTTCACACTGGCACAAAGCTCCTTTTCCCTATTGCCTCCTTTTAGTGTAGCATTCAACCAGGTCTTCTGTGCGTGTATTGCAGACCTTTTCAGACAGGTGTGTGGTCCAGGTGGACTGACAGATCAGAAACATCTCAGCCTGTTACTGCATGAGGCTATTCAGATCCCTCGGCAGCTCGGGGAAGTGGCGGCGTTTGGAGGAAGCAACGTGGAGCCCAGTGTCCGCAGCTGCTTTCGAATGGTAAGACTTTAGATTCTCTCTTTCAGTATCTCTCATTTTCTCTGATAAGCTTTCTGTTTAGATGATGAAAGGGCCTCCCTCTACACAGACCCTTTGCTCTCTGTGATGAGCAAATCTTCTTAAATATTTGTACCAGAGGCACACTTTCTCACTTTCCTTCTTTATTGCCTGTCACATTTCTCTCTCGCCCTCGCTCTCTCCTAACTAGGCTCTGCTTCTCCTGGGTTTTTGGGCTGGAACGTACAGAGATTAAAGAGCTGTTCTTTGACTTTATTCCTTTGGGTTTTAGTGAGTCACTGGTCAGAAACATACTCTACGCAAATGCTTGGCCAGTACTTGGTAGTCCTGTTGTGCTTATTAAATGTGCATTTCTCCTTCACTGTGCCAACGTCAAGCTTGCATACTCAAGGGGGCAATAGAGTTACCTTCAAACATCTGTGCCATTAAAAGAGAAGTGCATAATTTCAATGCAATTAACGGCACTAAACGAAATAACAAACACAATGGCTATTTTTAAACGTTTCCCTAAACACTCCCCATCAGCCATTGGTTGCAATGTTTTTATCACACCACAGAGACACAGGTTAGACTTGTTGGAGATCTTTTGTATTTCTATATTCCTGGTATGTAGAAAAGTATTTTACAAAATAAGAAAATAATACACATAGACCTTAAATCAGACGTGTTGTTATTCAGTTTACCAGCTTGGAAGCTAGTCAACAGTTACACTAATTTTAAAAGCTGCTGTGTTATTTTAGATTGTTAAAAATTAGATTAGATCTGTTACCCCAAAAAGTGTAAACACTGTCTCAACTAATGACATAACTGGCAGGACTAATTTGCAAATGTATAGGAAACCTGTGTTTTTGCTATTGATGCTAGAGGCTCAGAAATTCACTTTAAAAAACACATTTCACTTTAACACTACCTTTCAAAAGTTTGGGCTTATGAAGATTTTTTAAATGTTTTTGAAAGAAGTCTCTTATGCTCACTAAGCATTTATTTGATCAAAAATACAGTAAAACTGTAGTATTGTGGAATATTATTACAATTTAAGCAAATTGTTTTCTTTTTTAATATATTTTAAAGTGTAATTTATTCCTGTGATGGTGAAGCTCAAATATCAGTCAGTCTTAAGTGTCAGAAATGATGCTGCTAATATGCTGACTTGGTGCTCAGTATTTATTTGAAATGGAATTTTTCTGTAACAATATATGTCTTTACTGTCTCTTTTGAGCAATTAAATGCATTCTAAATGAAAGTATTGATTTATTTAAAAACAAAAAAACAAAAATTAACAGTGGTGTAAATTGAGTTGCGTTCAATTGCGTCGGTGTGAAATCAAGCTTTCCAAAGAGTTTGGGTTCATATACTTGCATTGAGTGTTTCAGACTTTGATAGTCTATGCTAATTAAGGAAAATGAAGGTGTAATGCTCGCTGACATCTTCTCATCCATCTTTACACTTATGAGGCTGTAATTCAGAAAATGCAGGTGCATCGCAGTGGAACATAACCTTCTGGCATTTCATTCTACTGATGGCCTAATTAGGAAATTGGTGTAGGGCACAGGTTTCTTGTAGAATGACCTTAAACCTTTCGTTCTTAGGTCTGCCAGCCCTTAATTAAATCCTGTTCCATTCAAGAGCATGTGTGCAATTTCAGGCACACGCAATTAAAATTCATTTATTTTGACGTTTGATCCATGTCTGCCTTTATAATTCTGGAAGAAATGCCAATCAGTGCTTTCCAATTACACCATTTTTTTCACTGGCTGCATTAATCATGACAGATCAAGAATGATGTAGCTCAGCCAGTCGGTGTGGGTTTCAGCGTGTGTCTAGATGAAAAGACTGGTTCACTTTGTTTGAAGTTATGGACCATCTCATGGGAAACTCTCAGCTGTCCCTGTGGTATGGACTGTTTAGAAGATCCTCTTTTGTTGTTTCAGTGAAACTTCTGGAGTCTTCCACTCAACTTCTCACTGCACATTTTGGTCTCAGTCCCAGACTACAAACACTGCTAAAAACACACACACACACACACACACGCACACACACTGCCTTGCCCTCTCAGGAGACGACACACTCCAGCGACTACTAAGAGCCACGCTAGAGATACTCATGTTAATTATAAAGCTCTGCCCGAGCTTCAGAGTGCGCCCAAGGGAAATCAACCTTTTAATGCATCTTCGATGCGTATTTAATGAGAATTTAGCACGTTCCAGATTTTTATGTCATCCTCTTTTATTAGGGTTATTGCTTGTCATCCGTTTCCCACTGTGTGACTATAACAAGGGGCCTCTCTGAGATTGTATCCTTCCCTTTCACTGGGACGTGATTGCCCTGTATCGCATGAGTACTTTTTAAGGGACATGCTCTGATAGGGTGCTTGAGCCCATCAGCTACCAGAAGTTGTTTTGGTGCTTAATTGGGCGTGCATAATGAACAATATGTCTTCTGGGTATCTGGATTCATGCTACTTGTTGCTGTGTGATTTTTATCTTTCTCATGTGTATCTTCTGTGTCTACCACTAGGCTCCAGGTAAGTCAGCTATCGAGGTGTCTCACTTTCTGGAGTGGATGAGCCTAGAGCCTCAGTCTGTGGTGTGGCTTCCTGTTCTACACCGGGTAACTGTGGCAGAGACAGCCAAGCACCAGGCACGCTGCTACATCTGTAAGCAGTGCCCTATCAAGGGCTTCAGGTGAGCTGCTGCAATGCTGAGTCGTTATTTGGAGAAAGACAGCACAGATCTCTCTATCGTTATTTTTTAGCTACTCAAAATAAATGCTCAAAAAATCCTCTTTTAGCTGATCAAAGAGTTTGAGGTAATAGCATTGAAGTTAAGAACTGCAGAGGGAGTAGTACACATGGGTTGTTAATGGACTGGATTTTAATTAGGGCTTAATTAAATATGTGAATACTGTTAAATTTATATTCATTTTATTTTTTTAATTTGGCAAAAATCTTTGTTGCGTATGTTAATTTATTATTTATTTTTTTATATTTAATTTTAATATTTATTTCCATCTCTTTTTTATGCTTTTTGTCCTTCAAAGGGAAACTGGATGCCTTAAAACCGAATGCACTGTGTGTTTAAAAGAGGTCAAATTGAGCAAAAAATAATAATAATAGAATTACCTTGCTAAAAAAATAGCTTATTAACCAGAATACAGTATGTACACTACCATTCAAATAGACCTTTTAATAGACTTTTTAATAGATCAAAATGATCAAAAATTCAAATGAATGCTGTTTATTTTAAACTTTCTATTAATTAAAGAATCCTGAAAATATTATCACAATTTCCACAAAAATATTAAGCAGTACAACGGTTTTCAACATTTATAATAATAGATTATAATTATTAGATTAATGTGACACTGAAGACTGGAATAATGTCTGCTGAAAATTCAGCTTTGCCATCACAGGAATAAATTACATTTTAAAATATATGAAAACAGTTATTTTAAATTGTAATAATATCTTACTGTATTTTTGATTAAATAAATGCAGGCTTGGTAAGCATGAGAGACTTATTTTTAAAAGCATCTCACCAGCACCAAACTTCTAAATGGTAGTGCACAATAAGTAATACTGTGTTTTATATGCTGGTTTTCTGGTGTCCCCACCAGACGTCTTGATTACCCTAACCAAAAGGGTATCTTAGTCAGTCTTCTTCAGCAGAAACAGCCAAGTTTTGCTGGTGAACACAAGTGCTATGATGACTCCGCATTTAGACCTATACTAAACCATCACTATCTGGCATAAAGCACCAGAGGTGGACAAAGTACTCAACTCCATTACTTGAGTGAAAGTACAGATACTGCTTGTCAAATATTACTCCATTACAAGTAAAAGTTGTAAAGACAGATTTTTACTTAAGTAAAAGTACAGAAGTACTTGCTTTTAAAAGTACTTAAGTACCAAAAGTAAATTTCCTTTTTTTATGTCAATGCACTGTTTTATTATTGTACGTAATACTTGCAATACTTCTGAAGCAACTTAGAATACATTACACCTACTGAATACACTGACTAGCTTGTAGTATCTTTGGAATAAAGAGCTTTTAGAATGTTAAAAACCTATCGGGGGAAAAAAATTAACCCCCCTACCCACCCCCACAAAAGCAGGATGGTAGTGATCTCACACAGCTCTGACAGTGTGAACACATCTATGTGTAGCCATTCATCCAAATTTGAACAGAGTGGACAGTGAAATCCTGTAAATACAGAGTGATAAGGAAGAAAAAAAAAAGCCTGCTTTAAATCCCAGCAACACAACAGTAGCTGTACAACTTTACAACAGCAACACTGCTTTAACACAAAAGCAAAACAGCAAGACTTATTTGACATCAAAACAAACATTTTAAATGCTGTCTAATCGCTCTCGTGGTACTTTAATGTCACACACAGAACGGTCTGTGCAGTTCTGCTTCAAGCCCAACACCTTTTGTGTTTTATTAGGATACGCACAACAGTTCTTCTGTGGCTTTATAGGTAATATTTTCACGTACACAATTTAGCAAAGTCGGACAATATTGTGTCTAATATATACCACAATATTAATTTCTTATTATTGAATTGTTGTAAATAAATATCACATTTGGAACTAGTCAGTGTTCAAAAAATCCTGGGAAATCACTTCATGTAGCCCTACAAGAGTGATTACTGATAAACTGTCTGAAAAAAAGACCCACTGACTTTCAAAGCTGCTTATGACTTTCTACTTCGAGGACCTTGATAGAAATGCAGTGGAGTGAAAAGTATAATATTTGTCTTTCAAAAGTAGTGAAGTTAAAGTCATAAGTTCCAAGAAAAAATAACACTCAAGTAAAGTACAGATACTCAAAAAGTGTACTTAAGTACAATACTCAAGTAAATGTACTTAGTTACTGTCCGCCTCTGTAAAGCACCCTGCTAGTCTTAAATTGTTATTATCAGCAGGGTAGTTCAGATTCATGATTGTAATCTATTCAAATCCTAAAATGAACAAACACATCAATATTTGGATGTAAAATGTGTCTCTGCCTGTTTCATCAGATACCGAAGTCTGAAACAGTTCAATGTGGACATCTGCCAGATGTGTTTTCTGACGGGCCGGACTACCAAGGGCAAGAAACTACACTACCCCATCATGGAGTACTACACCCCGGTACATATGCTTTGTTACTTGCAGAGGATTTTCCTTGCCAACTGGCAGCATTGTGCTTGCTCAAAGGTTTCAAATTCAATCACTATTGTACAAGGCACTACGCAAAATAAATATGAATTGAACCAAATTGATCTCCTGCAGTGAAATACAGCACAAGGCCATTTGCTTAATGTTTTTCCCGTGCTCCAGTCTGAGTTTTATAGGTGGGCGTCTTTATTATGCAGCTTTCTGTGGCTGCTCAAAAGATGATAGATTGAGATGGGAGGAAGACGAATGTTCTGTGGAGGAAGGGATGTACTGGCGGTGTGTCGGAGGAATGTTACGAAGGGGACGTGTTGTGTCTCAATCGCTCATGTTCTTTCATTTTTCTCTCCGCTGGCTCTTTTTCTATCTCTCTCTCTTTCTGAATCATTCCAGACGACCTCAGGCGAGAAGATGCGGGACTTCGCAAAGACGCTAAAGAACAAGTTCCGCTCGAAGCAGTATTTTAGTAAACACCCTCAGAGGGGATACCTGCCCGTTCAATCAGTACTGGAGGTGGAGAGCTCTGAGACGTGAGTCTGACTTCCTGTCTCCACTGATGAGAATCACAAAAGCGCCGTTGTGCTCTTTTTGAAGGTTTATAAGTGAAGAACTGAGGGACTGAACACAGTGCACAGCAAACAATTATTTTCTGTCCTGTTGAAAAGAACATTTTAAACCAGCTTAAGCTGTTTTGATGGCATTTTTTTACATTTCAGCTCATCAGGCTGGGAAGCCATCTGGCTGCTCAGGTAAACCAAGAAAAGGATGAAAATCTAGGTTGTTTGCTGATTTTAGCATCCGCGCCTAGGTGGTTGTCAGCTGGTTGTCCAGTGTTTTCCCATTCTGACTAGCTGTAAACTCCCAAAACTCCTATAAAGTGAGCAATCGGATCAGCCTGGCTAAGTAGGGGAGACCAGCTAAGGCCCACAAACAATCTTAGGCCAGCTTATTTTTGTCTTGCTTTTCTGAAAAAGAAAAACCCCATCTAAACATCTTTAAAAGCAGATAAATTTAGTTAAAACCTAGCTGGTTTGCTGGTCTAAACTGGATTAAGCTGGTTTCCCAGCCTGGCCAAGGTGATCTCCAGCTGGTTTAACTGGACATCCATCTGTTTACCCGTCCTGACTAGCTTAAAGCACCCTGAAGTCCTCTAAATCAAGCAAGACGGATCAGCCTGAGCAAGTTTGTAGACCAGCTAAGACCAGAAACTAGGCACTCATACATACAGTAACAAGCTACTTTGCTAACAGATGTGTGTGTTCTTGTTTTGACAGGCCCTGCTCATCTCCCAGGCTGCCTCATGCGGACACACACAGCCGGATCGAGCATTTTGCCAGCAGGTACGAGTTCAGTCTCACACGGACAGTGATCGCACCTTACTTATGCTCTGATATTCTCCCAGCAACCACTTCTGCTCACTCCCCTGAGCTCTGATTGGCATATTGATCCTCTTTGCATGGACACAGTTTTCCCAACAGCAGGGCCTTAACGACAGCCTGGGAGGAAGTGAGAGGGATGTGAGAAAGAGAAAGAGAGAGAGTGAGAGAGATTGAGAGATGGCATTCAGAGGGGTGGACAGGGGTCAGCTGCTTTCCACTATAAGAATGAAAGCTCAACCCACAAGGTCTGGAGGGCTCGAGGGAGCTGCCAGCATGGATCAGACTCGTTCTGGCCTGGACGGAGTGCACATTACACGCTCAGGAAACACTCAAACAGACATGCATTTTTACTCAAACATTTTAAAACGCTTGCTCATACTTACGCACAGTTATATCCGTGGGGTTTAGAATTAGGTGCAGCCAGTAGCACTTCAGGCTTATGTCCCTCTTACACACATTTGAAGTCACAAAGAAACCTGGTTTAAACCAGCCTATACTTCCAGCCTGGTCAAGCAGATGTTTAGCAGGATAACCAGCTGGCCTCCTATTCATACCATCTGAAAAGTGTGCCAAATTAACCTAAAACCAGCCAAAGGAGACCAGCTAAGAGAGGCAAACCAGCTAAGACTGGTTAAATGTTTTTTTTTTGGTAATACTTTACTTGAAGCGTTTATATATAATGCATTATAAAGGTATTCATAATTTACATTGTAATGCATTATATATTTTAATAAATAATTGTAATCAAAGTAAAAATGGATTACAATATTTGCAGATTTGCCTTGCCTAAAGATGTAACAATGAATAGATACTTATTATAATTTATTTATACAAATATCCATCTCATACAATGCATTATAAAGTACTTTTATAATGCATTATGCATAAAGTATTGAAGTCAAGTGTTTACATTTTTTATTCACTCGCCCTTTTGTTGTTCCTAACCCATATGACTCTGCAGGATTTGAGTCCCTGGCGGCGCAGTGTGTTACTGATGGTAGCCTTTGTTACTTACAATTTTGTTTCTGGTGTCCTTTGACAGCTCTTTGGTCTTGGCCATGGTGGAGTTTGGAGTGTGACTGTTTGAGGTTGTGGACAGGTGTCTTTTATACTGATAACGAGTTGAAACAGATGCCATTAATACAGGTAACGAGTGGAGGACAGAGGAGCCTCTTAAAGAAGAAGTTACAGGTCTGTGAGAGCCAGAAATCTTGCTTGTTTGTAGGTGACCAAATACTTATTTTACCGAGGAATTTACCAATTAATTCTTTAAAAATCCTACAATGTGATTTTCTGGATTTTCTTTTCTCATTTTGTCTCTCATAGTTGAGGTATACCTATGATGAAAATTACAGGCCTCTCTCATCTTTTTAAGTGGGAGAACTTGCACAATTGGTGGCTGACTAAATACTTTTTTGCCCCACTTTATTTCTTCAGTGGAAAAGTTTAGCAGAATGTTCACGCTGCTCTTGATGGCATATTGAAATATATGCGAATGTAACTGAGATCTAGGTGTGGTGGAGGGAAACATGTTGAGTAATTGGTCAATACTGCTTAACTGATGCATCCAAAAATTTTTAATGTGTTGACACTCAAATAAAATGCTGTAAGAGCAACAGAAAAACAAAGAGAAACACTTTATAAGTCAATTATCAAACAATAAAACCAGCATAATAATCAAATGTGATAAGCAATAAGCAATTTACATCATACAACCACTAAGTGTATGTTAAATCATTTACCTAATAATCCTTTAAGTGAGATGCACAATATACAATAAAATAGGGAAATCCATCACATGATTACAGTCTGTGTTCTTTATAATGCATGCACACAAGGTGACAATGGTAATGAAGTCTATACAGTCACATTATGGGCCAGTTTTACTAACAGCTTGCTCCAGCGCAAACTGTCTTTTGGCGTTAAAATAGTAGCCTACTGTCAGTGTCAGGGAATTAGTGCTGAAAAGGCGTGGACACAGTTTGCACCTGACTTCAATGAATATGCATTTGTAGGAGTTTTCTTTTCAGATGCAAAATTTATGGGAGGAGAGTATTAAAATGAATCACGCAACGTGATTTACTAACGTTTGCGCTTGTCAAATTACTGGTATTTGCGCCATTATTTAATGCCCGTGTCGAAAGTAGATCACCTGCACCTGATGAGCATCGGATAAGCTCTGCTTATTTGCGACTACGCTAATTTGCGCTGCGCTTGGTATATTGCGTTGGTCGATATGTAAATTAAATGTTGCGTCTCTGTTCTTTAATTTGTGCATTGTCAGTAAATCACCCGCAGAAATTTCCACGCCCATCGGCACTGTTTTGGAATTGCACTCTCGCGCTAATTTGCCCTGTTTAGTAAATCTGAAATCTGGCCCCATGTGTTACAACCATGTCAAAAAGATGAATGAAAACAAATCAATGCGAAATACATAAGCAATACAGACAAATTCCATTTAAGGTCATACACAGTTGAAAATCACATGGGTTCAGAATAACATGAATGTGAGTAAACAACAAAATCTTCATGTCTGGCTGAACTAACCCTTTAATTCGGCTGTGGAAGCACAGTGAAGCTAACAGCTCAATGTGACTGGTTTGGTTTGACTGCAGCAAACGATCAGGGATGTGCTCCTCTGCCCCGACTAACTTCCCTGCCAACTACTTAAATACACACAACCACATGCACACATGAACACACAGATCAGCCCTTTGCCTACCCTACCATACTGTGCTGCCAACTGTCTCAGCTCACACCCTGCTGCAGCTCTTATCTGTACTACAAATAGACCAGAGTGCACACACACACTCTCTCTCTCTCTCTCAGCTTCTGTGTCCTTTTGTCTTCATCTGTCTGTCTCCTCCTCTGTCTTATGCTTGATTTCTGCTCCTGCCTTTCAATGTCTTATTTCATTTCCCCCTTTCCTTCCTAATATCAATCACTTACCATAGCACATTTCTTCCTCTTGTCTTGTCCTTTTTAGTTCCCCAAATTTGTCTCTTCTCTCTCTCTCATGCTATCTCTGGTTTCCCCCAACACACATCAGTGCCGTCTGCATTAGTTGTTCCTGCTTAAAACAATATTCTTTGTTTTTATTCAACTGTCACCAGTTAATGTTTCACAGGGGTCCGTTTGCGTCTGACTGATTGTGTAAAACGTTCTGGGATCATAGGCTCACAGAATGCCAGCAGCCTTGACTAAATTCGATAAGAAGATGCCTGAATATTTAAAACACTCAGAGACATAACACTACATATCACTGGAGACAAATTAAATGATAAAAGTTTGCTTCAGTGGTCTGATGGCTTACAATATTCATTTATTTTTTTAATTTGCAATATTTATCACAAATTGTTTAATATTATCTGAGCAATTTATTACCGCTTTCTACCCAGTGAAGATTATTTTCATTGCCACTTGTTTTTGTTCTTGTATCCATTTATACATTTACTTAATCATAAATTGCCTTCAGATTGCAAACTGTCACTTATTTGCGGCATTATCTGATTCACATTATTTCTTTATTGAATTTGGCTGTTAAAACATCTCTGACAAATGAAAAGCATGCTAATGAGCCAACATTATCAGACAAGTATCATTCATTTTTATTAAATTCTTCACTCTGGCTTTGCATGTTCACATTTGATTCTCAACGTGCTTTCAGAAAACTCTCAAGCTTTCCATTCATTTCCTTGCTTTTGTGCATTTGTGCATTCTTAAACTATACTACTTGATCTTGACACTTGAAGTGTCGGCTAAATAAGAAAAGACAAACATTTTATAGCTAAAGATGCTTCCATAAAAATGAAAAATGCACATGTCTTTGGCAGTGCTTCGGAAAATCCCTTTCATTCACTTTTATCTGATAGTTCTGTCCTTTACAAAATATGAGCGATAGAGAGCATGTGCTAAATGAGGTGACACATTATTTATTTCCGACATTGTCAAGACTGGCTTTGAACTCTAATAGAAAATTAAATTATTTTCAGATGTTTCAGATGTGGTATCTGCAGTAAGAGCGCAGAGGAAGAACTTCATAGCCATGGGAATGGAGATTGTACGTGCGTTTATAGGCTACTCCAGAGTAATGACTGGAGGACCTCGAGATTGAGAGGGTGGGAGAATAAATCCACTGGCATTTGATGATCTAGACTCGCCATACAGGGGTGGATTTGCTTGGACATGACAGAGTAAGTGCTCTGTACTGACAGCCTTTCATCTGAAGAACAGACAGCATATCAGAAAGGCTGAACTACTGTTCTGAATCTCAACACACAATGTCCATTTCAAGACAGTGCTTCTCAGAGGAAATTGTTTGTCTTGTACTTGCCGATCTGTGTTTGTGACCTCTCTTTTTCTTTCAAACAAGAACACTAACCACTCCCTGAGAAACCCATTTAAACAACTACAAAGACATACGTGTATAACAGCAAACTCCATTTGACCTTGCACCACAGAATCTGTGACATCATCTGCGCTTCCTAGTAACACTTTTGATTGGATCTAGCTGATGGAGGTTTCAGCGGATTCAATTAGGAGTCGTCCTAGCCAGGCGGTGGGGTCAACCAGGACAGCCAGCGCCACCGTCATTGGCTGAAGGACACCTGGTGGGTGAATGTGTATCGACTTTCTGCTATTCTCCAAGGCAGCCCCATCCTGCATGTGGGTTCTCTAGTCTGCTGTGTTCTGAAGTTCAATTCAGAGCTTTCTCTGGCAGCTTTCCTAGCAGCATGACATGAATGCACTTAGCACTCCTCATTACGGTCTCTATAGAGGCTCTTATATTGTTGCTAATTCACAGGCTGTCCTGGTAAGGCAGTGAAATTCCCCCAGTCTCTCACCTAAAGGGTAAGCTAAGGCAGGGAAAGTGCCGAGCATTGCTAAAAGCAAAGTTTCACCCCTGCGTTGCTAATAGTAAGCACAGGGACCATTGTCCACTCCCTGCTGTGTTGAGAACACCTCTCTTGTGCTGGGTTAATCTTGTCTGTTCTGGATGACACACAGAATTTTGCTAGAGGTGCAGGGTGATCCTTCTAGCCACGCAAACTCATTTTCATACATTGTTGCATTCTGAAATGGGTCGGAGTGCTATTTGTTGCATTGTCCAAGTTGCCACAAGGGGCGCTATATTGAGATTTATCATTAACTGAAGACATTATAGAGCCAGTTGCCTCAATTATGGAGATGTTACCTGTTTTTTCTAAGTCATCTCTGGAAAATATATATATTTTTTCCCAAAGAATTTGAAACAATATGTGTTATGAAAAGTACTGCACAAATAAATGTGACTTGATATGCTGGACCAGCCTGAAATGCTTATTTTAATTTATTACAATTTTTAGAATGATTGAGCTAAAGAAATATGATTTGTTACCAATGTTGTCTTATTTTGTTGCTGATTTGACATACACTAACCATTCAAAAGTTTGGGGTCAGTAAGTTTTTTTTATTTTTAAATAATATTGTTTGACATTCAAAACATTTATAATAACAAGATTTCTATTTCAAACTTCTGTTCTTTCAAATTGTTTATTCATCAAAGAATTCTGGGGGTTTTCAACATTTATGATAATAAAAAATATTTCTTGAGCACCAAATCAGCATATAGGAATGATTTCTGAAGGAAATAATGTGACACTGAAGACTGGAGTAATGGCTGCTGAAAATTCACCTTTGCCATCATAGGAATAAATAACATTTTAAAATATATAAAATAAAAGTTATTTTTAATTGTAATAATATTTCACATTATTAATGTTTAATGCATAAATGCAGGGTTGGTGAGCATAAGAGATTTCTTTCAAAAACTTACCCACTGCAAATTTTGAACGGTAGTGTATGTTGTTGAAATGTAAGCTTAAATTCATTTATTCTCCTTTTAAGCAGATAGGAGCTCTACAATTGCCTATATAGAAAATATTTTCAAGATGACCAGAGAATAAACTATACTTTACTTTTGCTATTGCATTTGGTGCTGCTAGATACATAGAAATGGCTAATTTCAGCTTTAATTTGGCTTTAGGTTGACACAAGGACTCAAGCTGCAGTGGACCGTAAAGCGTTCATTCTGTATACTTTCGGGCATGGCATGTCAGTTGTATGCCACGTAATCTGTGGTTCATGATGAAGATCTTTTTCATGTTCTGTTTTTACCATGCCACTTGTGGCAGGGAATGCAAACTTACAAGGAGTTTGGGTGAAAATACCCAGGAGAGGCGTTTATGTCATAAAAATGCATGTGACATATGAAGTGAAAGGGGAACAGATTCTCCTCTGGCTTTGTCATGGAGAGAGAGAGAGAAGAGGGTGAAGCCAGGAGGCACAGCTTCGGCGTTGCGTGATAATTTGCCACCCAGGTTAGTCGCACACGGTATCTGAAATGTCAGGGTAGGATAACAACATTTGATTTTTAGGTTGGAGAAACTGCTCTAAGGTGTCTCTTATGCAGTCGCTGAGTCACAGCTGTCATCTTCTTTTCCTCTGCCAACCATGTGCTATTCCATTCCTACGCCTCTTGTGTTTGAAGCCACTGTCCTTGCTACAGCAAACAAATTGCAGTGCACAGTGTCTTTTGCCTTTGTACACCTTTCTATATGTTGTGACCCGTGCTCCGTAATATGACATTTTCATTTCGCTTGCTCTTTCTTTTCAGGTTGGCAGAAATGGAGAACCAGAGCTGCTCCTTTTTCACCGACAGTCTCTCTCCAGATGAAAGTTTGTGAGTACACCACCTCCCACACACACTGGAATCTATCACGGCCGCTAAGTCCCCATGCATGGGTGTGTGGATGTGCGCATGGCCATGCATGCATGCCTTCATGTTTGGTGTGGCTGGGCAGTCACATTAATTAAAAAGATAATGAAAATGACCCATGGCAATGTGTGGGTTCACCCTCCGTCGTATTAAGTCTGTGTGATTAAGGAGCACAACAATAGGGATGAATAGATCAGGCTTGGATGCTGACAGGAGGGAGAGAGAAAGAGAGATTGGGCTATTGAAATGCTACCAAACAAGATGTTAAGAGCTGTAGGCCAGTAGACAAGGAAAGCCACTGAAATAAGAGCATATATAGGTGAAATTAGGTGAGCCTGCACAAAATCAAAACTAATAAAAGAGGTCAGATCATAACAGCCCAGAGACATGGCTGTGCATGTTTTGTGCTGGAAATGGCTCTGTGAGTGAGAGAAAGAAGGAAATTTAAAGGAATAGTTCACCCAAAAATAAACTCATTTTCGTGTCATTCCAAAGCTTTATGATTTTCTTTCTTCCCTGGAGCACAAAAGAATTGCTTTTCAATGCAATTACAATGAGTTATCGAGCTTTAAAAAGCATGCAAAAAGACAATTAAACCATAATAAAAGTGGTCCAAGTCTTCCGAAACCATACGATGACCATTAGGAACACACTGAAATTGTTGTTATTCAGTCCTAATCTTCATCGCAACTGTTAATTGTGACCAGATCATTGAGCCGTTTTGTGAACGGGATCAAATGATTCTGTGAAAAGGTTAATCTAAGAACAATTCACAGTCAAACTCATAAATGAAGAGAATTAGTATTTGTTGGGAAGACTTGTAGAATAAAATAATATGGGTATATTATAAATTAATATTAGTATTTGTTTCACAGAGTAAAAAAACACAAAAAAATGGGCTTGGGCGTAGCTGGACATTTGAGTCTGGTGGGCCAAACCGAGTTGATTTGTTCAGTCACACTTTTAAACACAGTGTTTCTATTGTAAACCTAAAATTTCACACTCTGTGTAACTCATTATACATTATAACACATGAAAATGCACAACACATGAATTGCTGCACTTAATGTAGCAATTAACATACTGAAAATAATGCACTATAAACATGTTTGTCAGCTGTCTCAAAAGTGTGAATTACATATTGCTTAACATAAAACAGACATCTGTTGGGCAAGATTCATGTTCACAAACACTGTATATTTAGTAAATCTTACTGAAAATAGATGATTAAGAAGTTTATATTGTACAAATTTGTGTTTAAAGGGATAGTTCGCCCAAAAATGAAAATTCTGTCATTAATTACTCACCCTCATGTTGTTCCAAACCCGTAAGACCTTCGTTCATCTTCGGAAATATTTTTGATTAAATCCGAGAGCTTTCTGACCCTGCATAGACAGCTATGCAACTGACACGTTCAAGGCACAGAAAGGTAGTAAGGACATTGTTAAAATAGTCCATGTGATATCAGTGTTTCAACCGTAATATTATGAAGCTACGAGAATACTATTTGTGTGCAAAGTAAACAAAAATAACAACTTTATTCAACAATTTCTCGGTTGAACCACTGATGTCACACAGACTATTTTAACGATGTCCTTACTACGTTCCTGGGCCTTGAACATGTCAGTTGCGTTGCTGTCTATGCAGGGTCAGAAATCTCTTGGATTCCATCAAAAATATCTTAATTTGTGTTCTAAAGATGAACAAAGGTTGTACGGGTTTGGAACAACATGATGGTGAGTAATTATTGGCAGAATTTTCATTTTTGGGTGAACTATCCCTTTAATATTTTTTGGAGAACTGTTCTTTTAAAAGGCAGAGAGAGACAGTGCATCAGTGAGTAATGTATTATATCTGTTTGACAGGGCATAATGTGCCATTTCGGTGGCTTTTACCAAATCTTCCTCATCCAGCGGTCTGTAAATGGCCTTTGTTTACTGATGGCCCATGTAATGGCACCTGTATAATTACAGCAGAGTGCATGAAAACAGCTAGTTTTTTATTATTGATGTGACTAATGTGAGAGCCGTTATTTCAGTCCTTCCTGTGTGTAGTGGTAATTTGTTTTTGCTCCTGTGTGCCTGTATTTTAGCTGTGCCTATTTAGCTTGCTGTATTTGATGGGATGGAGAGCGCTTGTTCAGCATCTACACTGTTGTTTGTTTTATGGATGATGGTGTGCGTTTGTCTGTGTTTGCGTACACTCTAAACATGCCATCCGCAGTTTATGCAAAATATGCGTGCACGTGTTGTATTGATATGCCACTGCTGCATTGTGTGCATTTGGCTTATGTACCTGCTGCTTTGTGTGCACGCTTGGCGCTGTGTGTGTGTCGGTCTGCTGCTGCGTGGCACTGCTAATGTGTTCAGTGTGCACTGTCTCCTGTGTGGGGGGACTCAGGGATGAAGATCAGTACCTCCTACGTCACTCCAGCCCCGCCCTCGAGCAGGACTCCCCCCACGGCCACCTGCTGGCCCACCTGGACTGCCAGGACAGAGAAGAGCTGCAGCGCACCCTCCAACGCCTGGAGAACGAGAACAGGTGAGGGCACAGCCAGGGGCACATTCACACTTGAAGCTGAAATATGTAAATTGTGCGGTACTAATCTGAATTCCAAAAAATAACTAGAATTTTAGATTTTTGAAGAACATGGGAATGATATTTAACCATGCAAAAGTTACTGCCAAGATGCTAAGGGGGTTGCTAATCGATGCTTTTTGGTTGTTAGTTCAATAAAAGGTTTATATATAAAATGTATACACACACATACACAAACTAAATGTTACAAATATATAAAATTATATAAGAAATATAATAATAAAACAACTCTAAATATTTTCTGCACTTTTGTCTCCAAAATAAATGCATCTTATTTTAAAGATGTTTATAAATACTGAAATAATTTTGTATAGAAATTAAACTGTACAATGGTTTCACTGAGGGTTATGTTGAAATTGTTGTTTTAAATAATTGGGGGTAAAATGATTTGTCTTTGTAATTGTGACTCTTGGCTTCTGGCTGTGATGGACTGCCCTTTGTGTTGGCCCTTTAAATTTCACAGCTTTCCAGAGGATTAAGATACTGTAGAGCTAATAGCTTTTAATTGGCTGAGATAAAAGGTGTTGCTGGGAAACTGTAGACATTATTATGATTGCGATGGTTAGTCTGGGTCAAAAACAGTAATCTGAATGAGGTGTGCTTTTTAGACCTTAAAACTGGTTCAAACATCAGCAGAAACACAAAAACGTCTATCAGGTCCACCATTTTATTTCATCCTAGAGGCTACTCTTACACCTGTGAGTCATTTATGAGTTTTGTCTTCGGCGTAAATCCTGACCTTTAAGTCATGCTCTCATGTGGTCTTGCTTTGTTATAGGTGAGTAATAGGTCAATAAAGCAAAATTAACTGTTAGTGTCTGCAGGGGATCTGCAACCTTAACACCCTGAATAAATCAGTCATTATTGGGATACAAAGAGCTGAGTGATGGCTGCTCTGTTAAACACCCATTTTGTGTTATTTATTTTTTCAATCAATTTGATTTGATTTTAGAGGGGTGTAATAACAATTTCCCAGCAAGAATATAATATATATATATATATATATATATATATATATATATATA